CCGGTTAGTCCTCCGGTCCTAAGGTCACTAACGACCCCGGTACAAGTGCTGGCGGGCGCAAGTGCGTGGCCTGGCACAGGGATACCTGAAACCCCATACGCCTCGAAAGCGCAATAGGGTGCTGCACGATACTAGATACTAGACTACAAGCGCTCACGGGCACAACTGTGCAAAGTCACCGTGGCAGCAGTGTCGGCGGGCACAGTCAAGAGTTTAGGAAAGTGGAGGGGATGCACGGGCAGAACCGAGTGTCGACAGAGAGGGATGATGGGTGCGCGCAGTGATAAACGTCAACACAAAACTTCGGTCAGAGCGCAGGGCTCATAACCTGATAAACTCGGGGCTGTGAAGACAAAGATTAGATCCGACTAGAGTCGAAGCAAGATCTTCAGTCAGTAAGGAAAGACTATATTGCAGCAACGAACTGTACCTAGAGTCGAAGCAAGACTACAAAGGTCAAGTAAGTAACTACAAGCTAGAGATAGATGTAACGAAGTACTCACTCTTCAGTCAGTAAGGAAAGACTGAAGAGGGAGGACACAATCTGAAGTCCTTATATACTACAGAGAAGTGTCCATGACTAATCAAAGAGTGGTTAGTCACATGTACCATAGTGCGATGAATAATATGATGGTGAACGAATTGCGACGTATCGCACCATAGGATGAGTAAGAGATGAGTAAGGCATAGACCTGTCTAGACCGTTCTGGAGTAGTACGGATTGTCCTGGACAGTACCAGAAGAGTCCGGAAGCATAGCTATAGTACACGAGCAGAGAGTCCCAAATATGGTAACATACTACATAAGCGACTACAGCTAAGCGCTAGGAGATGCATAGCCTCGTGTAGTCCGGACCGGATAAGTCCAAGTTCAACAAGCCACCATGCTTTCTCCTTCCCCTCAGAGAGACAACGCAGAGCACCACCCTGAGACCAGGGGACGACAGTTGCAGCATCAGCAACAACAACAACAGCAACAGCAGCAGGAAGACGCGACGCGCAATCAGCCACCCTGAACCGACGCTGAGGAACGGGTGAGACAAGACCAAGACGAAGAGATGCGATCCGAATCGGACCTATTCACGGAGCGCGAGAGATCGACCGAGGAGGAGAGCCTAGCCCTGAAGAAGTTGAGAACTTCGAGGGAGACCTACTCTGTGAGCAAGGCCTGCACCATCGCTCGTGAGCACTCCCCGCTTAGAAAGATCCCGCCTCAGTCCGCTTGGGATGAGGAGAAGAAGAACATCCCCACTCCTGTCCGCCTGGACATCATCTCCGACTGGGTCAAGGCATACGGAGACAGAGAGCCGTATAACCTGATCTATGACGAAGCGCTCCATGCGAACCTGTCGACTGGAGTGTACGCGAACTTCTGGTCTAGCATAGGGACAAGGACAAGCCCGAGTTCCCCATGGAGGGGCACAAGCCGTTCACCCCAGGGCCCTTCCCCACGTCCACATCAGGAAACCTGGGAATCCCTTAATGCCCCTTAAACTCGCCTTTAAGGGCGTTAAGACGCTTAAGATGGCTTTAAGATCATATAAGACGTAAGAATTAAGATGCTCAATTAAGACACATTAAGACGATTAAGATGGGCGAATGCGAATACGTTCTACACCGTCGTCGCGTGCACCGGCCTCTGTCACAATGTCTGTACACGCTCCAACTGGTCTCTCTTGGTCTCTCACTCTGCTCCGCTCCATCATTGACACGCTGTACGGAGTTGAGGGTGAGCAGCTCGAAGATATGGCGTGGGAGAGCTAAGTGGCTTAAGGCGCTAAGCCATTAAGCTTATGCACGGTTTACTGATGCATATCAGCGATTGGCGCCACCGAGCAAGTCGAGGAGCAGAAGGAGTTCCTCCTCGCTTTGGTCCCCCACGGTGGAGGTCGCGAGATGAAAAACGCGGCGGGCAAGATCGCCCAATGCTTCCAGGAATTCCTCAGCTCTCTCCACTGTGAGAGCTATGGCGGCAGGGGTGTCGACGTCACGGTGCTCCCCCCGGACCCGAGGAACCCAGGCGGCCCCGGGAGCAAAAATCCCTTCGCACAGCCATGGACCTTCTACGTACAGATCCAGGAAGACCCAAAGGACCTCATGCGCGCCTTCTTCCTGTATCAGGAGCACTTCGCCCTAACGTACCCGGGAACTTCACCAAGGGCTGGGTGGAAACCGAGATTGCCCTCTGTGTTCGTAAATCACAAGTGGCCTTACCGTCTAATCGTGACCTTCTAACCCCATCGCCCATAAGCCGGACATCACTTTGTTCGCCGACCATGATGTCGATGCGGTTGATGCTTGGAAGAAGGAGTTGGAAACCGATTCAGCTCAGGCGACGAAGTACCGGACCCCACATTCACCGGCGCGGACATGGGCTTTGCGGCCTCTTTCATCGAAAAACTACTGAAGACTTACGACTGCTTCCAGGACCCTCCTGAGGGGAAGTTGAGAGAAAACTGGCAATTTGTGCTCCCCAGCAAACAAAGCAACCGCGACAAAGCTGAAGAAGCACTAGGTCAGAACATAGCGTACGCAGCGGAGATACTAAGGCGCCAACATCGGCACTGCTGCTACTCCGTTTTCGTTTTCGGCCGCAAAGCGCGCCTGGCTCGATGGGATCGCGCCGGGGCCATCGTGACAGAAGCTTTCGATCTTGTGGACGATCCACTGCCGCTGTGCGAGTTCTTCTGGTTATTCTCCCAGAATCTCTCCGAGGCGCAGCGTGGCTATGACCTCACAGTTCACCCCGTCCTCTCGCCGGATGACAGTGAGCGTTTCCATCAAGCCATCAGAAAGCACGCGGAGACGCAGCTCAGTAAGCAGAAGACAATCGAGGAGGCGGTCAAGGAGCACTACTTCGAGGATTGTGTCGTGTCTATGTGGATAACCACAGCTTCGGCCGACACGGACCAGCAATTCCTCGTGTCGCGCCCTCTCCTCACACCTTTGACGTTCGTAGGACGCGCATATCGCTTATATTGGGCTCTGGAATGCAGCACCAATCGTATCGTCCTCCTCAAGGACTCATGGAGGTACCCCCTGGATCATTTCCAGCGCGAGGGGACGATCATGGAAGTCCTGTCTGACGTTCCCAACGTCCCGAGTGTTGTCTGCCATGGTGATGTCCACTGGGTCGAAGTCACAGCGAATGATGAGGAGTATATTCTTGACGTCCACGGTGAGTATCATTTGCCCGCACCAGGCCCAGGACTCGTAAGCCATTGACCTTGACGTGATTAGATGATGTATATCAAACAACGCACACTCAGAGGTTCATCGACGAACCTTGGGTCTGTGGATTCAAAGAGGCACTGAAGCAACGAATCTTCGAGCGCACACATTATCACGTTGTGGTGGATGCCGCCGGTTACAACTTGCTCGACCTGAGCGGAACATCGGAGCTGTTGCATGGGTCGTTCCATGCTTTTAAAGGTGTGCAACCATACCATCTCTAGCGTACAAATCTGAGTCTGTTGAGGAGCTATGCGACATGCGCACGAATGGCATGGCTATATTCACGGCGTACTCGACCCATGGAGTGTCGTTCTTTATCGGCCTTACGGGTCTGATCGGCGTCGAGGTTACCTGATCAAATGGGACTTAAGTACGCAAGTCCCTGATGTACGTGCCTAATCTCGAAGAGTCGTCGCTATTCTGACTCAGTGCTACTACTGTTATAGATTCAATCTCATCTTCAACATGGACATCAGGTCTCATCGTGGCCAGTGGCTACAAGCGTAAGTACTCCTGCTCCGCTCCCAAGTGCATTTTCATAGCTCATGACCACTCATCAGCAAGACTGGCAATTCGTTAGCCAGGCTAGGCTTACAAACCATGCCCTTCCGCCCGGTCTCCTCCAGGATATGGAGTCTATGATCTGGCTTCTCATCTATTGCGGGCTCTTACGTCTTCAGCATGATCAGGAACCTGCGGAGACTCGACGTTATCTCGAGATGGTGTTTGATTTTTACTCACCTCAGGTCAAGGACAAGGGCCTAGGGCCCCTAGGCGGCACCGGAAAGCTTGCTGAACTACGGCAGAGAACTCTTATTCGAACGGTCCATTGGACCAACCACGTATTCCAGCAGTGGATACATACTCTCCTCGACGCCCGATCCCCATTAGACGACAATCCTTGCCGAGATGAGTTCAAGGCGTTGTGGAACCCAAGTACAATCGCGGCGATATGGAAGAACATGCTTTACCAGGACACCATTCCCGATGACGAGATGGTCAATAACCTTGACCCTGACCAACTCGGGACGGACATGGTATCCGCCATTCCCGCTGCTGTTGCTCGCACACAGTCGCAGATGCCCACGAGCATCAGCACGAGGTATCAGACACGCTCTATGACAGCGTTGAGGCACATGGAATCCGCGAAGAAGGCCGTCAAAGTCGAGTACCTTCGCGTTGGAGTGGCAGGAAAGGCGCCAGCCCATCATTCGCGAACCCACGGTATGAGCACCGTAAGGTTGATTCCTTGCAATCTTCTGATATTTGCCAACAGGTACATCAATGACGACATATACGCACCTTGCTGCAGCGATGCAGCCATTTGTGATGAGCGGCGGACTAGCAGGTATGTGCTCACGGCAAGCCTAGCATATTTGCAGATGAGCTCAAGTCTTGCCGGTACAGCCGCAAGTTCTCTGGAGACGGCGCATGGCCCGGAATACACGAGCATGACGCATAGATATGCGCAGCCTGTACCAGATGCGGATGGAGGAGCGTCATCACGTCCCAAACACGCACCGGCGCAGAGTAGGAAGGTTCAGATCAGTCTAGGCAAGAAGAGTGCATTGAGGAAGATGGTGTGATATGGTACGATGTTGCATGTATGTATTGATGAGGGAGCGTGAATGGCAGTAGAATCATGGTTGTAGCAAGTCTTACGCCGAAACGTTAGCTCTGACGACTCACGAAATAACCCCGCTACGCTCCGACGAGTTGTGATGCTGCTCTTTTGGACGCAAAAGTCGCATAATCGATTTGAGGGGTAAGTCTCTGCGAGTCTATGACTCCTTGACGGAGTGAGCGAACTTGAAGCTTTTGCGCGCAAGCGCTGAGGCGCCAAGGTCGGTGTTATGATTAGTCATCGTGGCCCCGAGAAGTTCGGCGTCTGGTTCGAGGTTGATGCCTTTCGTTCCACTCCCCTGCTCCGTGCCCTGATCCACTGCTCTCACAATCTAACACCGCTATCCCAGTCGTTCACATGGTTCGCTCTCATTCCAGGCACTCGAAGCTCGCCTACGATGCTCCCCTTGCCGTCTCCGATTCCGAATCCTTGTGCACCAAGGGGTTCAACTCTGCCACTGCCGACGCACGACACTACCAGAACGCACAAGAATCGAGGTCTTTCACGATTGGACCGATGCCCCCGCGCATCTTCTTGGACTGTTTCTTCGCTGCCACGCCCTTCGAACCCTCCTCTCACATGCTATCCAGCACCAATGCCTTCCGCTCGGTACCTCATAAGGTGTCGTCCAATTCGCAGATTTGCCGATCTATGGTGAGCTGTCCACGCTTGGTTTATTTCCGTCGTCTCGTTGATATTCGATCAAGGTCAAGGCTCTTAATAGGAAGACCACACATAAGTCGCGATGTCCTGGTTTTGTGTTTCGTACTTCAGCACCTGCCAAGCCCACGCCACGTTCTGCCATCCCCGCCCCCCATATTTGCTGCTATGCGGCGGACAGTATGCCAAGGATACACTCGCTGGCCTCGTCTCGCCCTGAGTCTGGATTCGCCGAACTGTTCATCGAGGTCAAAACCGACCCTTCCCATGATTTCTTTGTAGACCCCCCATCCGATGCGGGCGCCGACAACCTTGCAGCCCACGAGTTCGTGCACCAGCCTGACGACCCCAACTTGGTCCACGAGGCCCAAGCAGCACTCGGTCGACACGTCGATTATGCTGCGGAAATCCTCGCCCGTCAACACCGTTCTTTCCTATTCTCTATCTCCATGTCTGGCTCTTGCGCGCGTTTGTTCCGATGGGACCGCGCAGGCTGCATTGTGACTGAGTCCTTCGATATTCGCGAGCACCCTGAGATTCTATGCGAATTCTTATGGCGATTCTCGCAGACGTCAGACGTAGGCCGTGGCCACGACGTGACCGTCGAGGTGGCGACACCCGAAGAGGAACTACACTTCAAGGACGCAGTCAGAGGCCACGTACAACTTCAGCTCTCTATTGAAGGCGAAGCGCTCGAAAAGGCGATATTAGAGCATTATGCCCCGGGTCATGTTGCCGCTATTCACGTACTACCTCAGGACTGTACTTCCGCGCCAGACAACATACGTCGATTCATTGTCTCACGTCCCGTAGTCGCCCCGCTCTACTTGGCTGGCCGAGGTACAAGAGGGTACTGGGCGATGGATACCTCCGATCGTCGTGTCGTGTTCATCAAGGATACATGGCGCAATTGTGAAACAATGCCAGGTCGGGAAGGCGATCTCCTCCGCCACTTGCACGATCAAGGCGTACACTATATACCTTCCGTCGTCTGCCACGGTGATGTGCCAGACTGCTTTCCGGAAGAGCCTCGGCTCATTGCTAGTATGTCTACTGGTCAATCATCTGTATACCGCCGCTGAACCACGTCCAGGCAATGAATACCATGTCACTGCCACCGATGAATTCAGGACGCATCCTTGGGTCTGTCAGGTCGCAGGTCAAATGGTAACCGTATACAAGCAGGCGCATTACCGAGTCGTTCTTGGGACCGTTGGATATGGTCTGCGAAATTTTCGGGACACTGAAGAATTATTGCACTCGACGTATGACGTTTTCACAGGTATGTGTAGCGAGAGTCGACTCTCTCCGTGCAGACTACTCATTATACTCCAGCAATGAGGGAAGCATCAACAAAGGCCTCTCGCATCCACAGAGATATCAGTCTCGGAAACATAGTGCTTGTCAGGGAGCCTGGCCGCACAATCCGTAGAGGCTACCTCATAGACTGGGAGTCGTCATCCGAGGTCGATGAATCTGGGCAGGCACTCATCCCCGGACGCTCCGTGAGTGTTATGCTGTTAGGCCTGTACTGGGGACTCATCAACACGTCAGGGAACATGGCTGTTCATGTCGCAGAGAATGCTTTCGCATGTGAACGCATATGCAAGGCAAACGCTCGCAGACGACATGGAATCATTGCTCTATGTTATCCTATACCCTGCTCTGCGCTGGCTACCTCACGATTACTCCGATTACGAGCTGCCAGATCTACTACAGCGCTTCTTCGAAGCTCGGACGGAGATCCGAGGCATATCTCATGGAGGTAACCATAAACTAGCCAATGCGGTGTGCCGAGCGACGACAAGGGAGATTGACTTCAAGGACGCCTCATTTCAAGAGTGGCTGAACACTGTAATGGATTATCACTCTCCACCCGAGCCGCTTGAGGAAGCTTACGCAGGAAGGTGGTCGGATCCGTCTCACCTTGACAGATACTGGTCTGAATTCCTACAGACACACCAGTTGGCACGTAATGACCGCCTATCAACACGCTCAAGAGCAAGCTCTTCCCCTAACTCTGTCACTTCCACCGTAAATGAGGAGGATCGCGACGCTAGCTCAATTCCCAGCTCGTTGGGCAAACGCCGCGAGGCTCCCAATCCTCCCTCTGTCTTGTCAGAGCAATTGCCTAAGCGTACACGCAGGGCTTCTGCACGTCGACCTCAGCAAGACTTGGAGGCCTCGGCTCCGAGGCGCAGTCTGCGCAAACGCCAATCCGCGACCTCCGCGCAAGGGGTCGCTACGAATGATCATGCTCCTCTGCGGCAGCGTCTTCGCAGGCGCAGTGCGCCTGCGCCTACGCATGGCAAGCAGGATGTCATTCCAAACGACGCCCCTTCGCGAGGTTCGCGTAGACGAGCGTAGTTTTAGATTGCATGGCGAATGGTCTGATCGTACGTATCTTTTCGATTCCTCGTCTGCACGCGTCTCTGAGTCATGTCACGCTCTAGACCAGTGTTCCCGTGCATTAGTGCAAACCTTGCGGAAATACAGGTCTCAGGCGTTTGTATGGTGATCAGAGACCTTCGTGACCTCACCTGGAACTAGATCACGTAGCTCTGTATGTTCGCTTCTGCAGTATAATCAAATTGGTATCGTCTGGCTCCTCCATGCATGTTCATCCCATTCACCTGCTTTTTTGCCCTTGATTCAATGGCCCATGCGCGATGGTTATCGTTGTTCGGCCCTTCGCGGCATTAGGGATGGGTACGGGTCTACCCGTGGTGGTTTTGGCTGGACCCGTACCCGTACCCGGACGGGTGATAGGTATTTACCCGAGTGTCTCGGGTATCTGGGAAGGCGTTCCCTAGCGTGAGGTGTTGTACATATTGATGAAGAGCGGGACGAAGCATATTCGGTGTCGATACCGAGTCGTCTAGAGGCCGGCTAAAATAGCGAGAATGTCGCGAGAGAGCCTTGGCGCAGCGTTGCGAAACCATGCCAAATGCGGAAGGAGCCACGACAGTGCGTCCAGGGCCCGGGGCCGTCTCCAAGCTCAGTCTCATACTTCCACCTCGGTTTTCCGTTTGTACCTCTCACTCTTCTTCACCACTCTCCTTACACTATCGTCGTCTCTCTCGCTACTTGCACTGGACGCTGTCTACGCACAACGCTAGACACTACACACGCGCACGCACAATGTCGACATCTCCCCCGCCTTCCCCGCTCTTCTCGCGTTCATCCTCCGGCTCGTCGTCCGGGCACGGCTACATCCCTCTTGGCGTGCCTAAGGTCGCGAAGCTGCTTGTCAAGATGCGCCGGCACCGCTCCAAGGCGAAGGCGCACCACATCGAGTCCTCGTCCGGGCCCGCGCCACTCACTCACCCTGCACTAAGGGGCGACGGCGCAGTCTCACCCCAGAGGGTTCCGCTCGAGGAGAACGTGACGTTCGTCTGTCGGGATGGCGTGGACGTTGCGAAGCTGCTGAGGGCGGCGAGGGCGTCGCTGTACCAGAAGGCGGTAGAGGTTGGTGCGAATGTTCTGGTGGACGAACAGTGCGTCGTTTTTCTCTCTGCTGAGACGATCGGTGGACTGACTGCATCCTATCACCGCTAGGTGGTCATGTACGATCTGCGGGCCTAGGCATCGGTCGGACGGGACGTTCAGAGTCTACGTACGTCGTCTGTCTTTCCTTCGTACTCGAGGGCTTGCACGCTAACATATGCGCGGTGCAGGTCCGTTACTCCGCATGCGGCGCACGCTCGGACAAGCGCGACCCTCAACGGCCGGTCGCGCTCGAGAACGTGCGGGACGTCCCCGGGCTCATGACCATTGTCAGCAGGCTTGATTGACTGCTCAACACTCTTCTCCCTGCCCTCTCATCTCATCTCTCGATTCACCTTTCATCTCATCGTTCAGACCATCAGTAATATATTCGCCAGCCCAGTCATCCCTGCTGCATGCATCTCTCATTCCACCAACGTTTCCTCATCTCTACGCCACGACCCACGGACCTTCGCGGACGTTGTACATCAAAATCCGGATATAACGTATTCACGGGCAGACATCCCTATTCCCCTTCATTGTATCACCACCACCACCACCACCACCACCACCACCACCACCTACGCTTACTGTCCGTCCACGTACGACTCGCCGTAATTAGTCGACTTACGATACGCGTGTACATCATTGTTCGAGCCAAACACTTTTCTTTTCATTCTCCATATCGAATTCTCTTTAAGGTCACGCATTGCAAGAGCATCACGTTCGTTTCCCCCCAGCTGTATACGAAGTAAGCCGAAAATTCAATTGTTCCGCGTACGTCTGCGGCGATCTCCACTTTACCCCGCCCCCCATCGCCTCGTGTGTGCGTGCAGGACACGGGCCCGCCTCAACGTGTCTGCATATCGCGAAATGTCAGAGCCAGCTCGTGTCAGCGCGGGGCGGAGGGACTTGAGTCATCGGTGCGTGCTCCGGAACTTTGACATGGGGGCTTCGAATTGACGCTGCGCTCGCAGACTATCTGCGCGTGCGCAGGATCTGCTGTGGGAGTGCGTTCTGACTCCTAACTCTGACTTCTGCAGGAGTTCACGGGTATGAACGGATGCTGGCATCCGCTCAAGTGTCGACGTTCTCAATTGCTATAGCCAGTACATAGCTGGAGGTCCCCGCAGACTGGCCATCGGTTTGCTTTTTCAAACAGCGCTGATGGATTGTGCATGCTGTAGACGCCACGCCTAAGCTCCGCCCAAGACATGTCTACGCCTTACCTCATGCATCTGGGAAGGGATGCTGCAGCTGCAGCTGCCAGCCATTGAGTCTCATTCATAGATACCTTGCACGTAATCGCTTCTCGCTCCACACGTGGCCTCACATGCTGTGGCGACAAAGACTTGCACCACCACTGATCGGCCCCTCGAACGCTGCCATCTCGCCGGAGGCCCTCGACGCCCCCCCGACTCGATTGGGATGTCCTGCACGCCGTCTGCGATCGCCTCACAGACACCTCCGACATCCTCTCCCTCTCACGCACCTGCTCCGCTCTACTCCCGGCGGCAATGCAGCGCTTCCTTAGCGTCCGCCCCATCATGCCCAGCAAAGCCCGGTCGGTTTGCAACTTCCACAGCCTCATCTTTGCCGACAAGGCGCGTCGCGCTCCTCACGTCCGTGCTGTCCAGGTTCACATCGCCACCATTCCGATACCATATTCTCGAGACGGGGTCGCCGATCGCCTGCTTGCCATCATAGCTTGTGCCGACCGTCTCGAGAGCCTTGGGCTCTGGTACGACCAAGGCTTCTTGGATTCAAATTGACACAAGGCTACTGCCCGCCATCGTCGAGCTCAATACACTGCGATCCCTCTCCATCATAGATGAGTGCGGCAACATGGACGGGGTGAAGAGTGTTTTGGGAAACATCCGATCTCCTCTCAGAAGCCTCCGCGTCGATATCACATGGCCTCTCTTCTACTGCCTGGATCTGCTGCGAACGGGAATAGGACGTCACGCAGCGACCCTCGAGATGCTGCGTGTGTGGTGGGCCGACTTCGGAGACGACCATCGTGACTTTCACGAGGTGGCTCCTCAGCTTCCAGCACTCCGATCGTTCACTGTCGACTGTACCGACGGCCTCCCGCGAATGGCTTGTCTGTTGCAAGCATTCCCCGCACTGGACGACACCCTATCCTTCAATCAAGCCGAGGTAGCGTCATGGTGGCCACTGGACGATCGCCTGAACCTCGTTAGAGATGAGAACAAGCGAGCTCAGGAGTCCCATTGTTGGGCAGGCCTCGATCGTGTTTCCTGCGAGGCACGTGTTTTCGTCATTCTTGGTCTCATGTGCCCCATACGCCATGCAGATGTTGTCGATTGCTCGACCCTAACCAGGGATTCTGTGGCGACTGCCCTGCGCGACAACCCTCCTCGTCGGCTCACCCTTAGTGTAGAACTCGAGCGTGGTCCGTCGGTACTCCACGGGCTGTTCCCGTCTGAGCTGGAGCCTACGCTTACCCACCTCGTGGTCACCCTGCGCTGCGCCGAGGGTGATGACCGCAGGGGCCCCCCGGACTTCGACTTTCTCGCGAGAGTCCAGCTGGACGAGTTGCTTGTAAGTTCCCCGTGCATCGACCATGCGCATGCACCCACCAGCCTCTGCAGGACATGTTCCTTCACTCCATCGCGCGTCTGTGCCCGAGGTGGATCCGTCTCAGCTTTTACAGCCACTCTGACTCTCGCGCCGAGTTCTGAGAGACATTCGTGCGAATCGTGCGACATCTGCCGTTCGAGGAGGTAGCATCACGGCTAGCTTCTTCGATACCCTCGTTGAGGCTGGTGCATCTGATCACCTTTCACTATATGCCCCCAGAGAATTCCATGGCCAACGACAAGTGGTGGATCCACAAAGCTTTCCAAACGTCTCACGTCAACGAGGACCGTGGAGGTAACGGAAAGAGCACCCAACTGGTGGGGTTGAGTACCGAAGCCATGCACGAGATGTTCGCGAGGGAGGACATGCCGATAGACGTCACCGCGATGCAGGTTTGCGGCCCCTCAATCCCAATGATTTGTGCTGATCACTGGCATTCCCGGTGCATGCTCGCAAATACAGCACTTCACTAACGAGATGCGTCCCATCGACTGACCCGCGACGTAGAATAATATCCAGTGCAGCTTGGGTGTCCGTATGACTCGGTTTCGTACTCGATTGACTGCATTTGACCCCTGTTCCGAAGCCGCAATCAGGTGAATTTTGGCTACGGTGCGAGGTTCGGTAACCGAGACCATTGCAATTGGGCGCGTGTCTGTGATGTTCGTACTCCAGCCGTTCATGCACTTGAGGGATTAAGGCGCTGTCTCACTGTGGATCTAGACGGCATCTGAGGGGCCGCTGATTTGCGGCGTTGTCTCTACGATGGGGAGACCTCCCCTATTGTTGGGGGTGTCGTCGCCTTATTGTTGATCACTTGCGCACATAAACATGGCTTCACACTCAAGTCTCCTGCTTTTCGGGTCACGAAGAGGCGCTCGTACAGTGTCTTTCCTCCACGCTCCATGCCGACGAAGCCCTCACCTTCGAGCAGCCCATTACAAACCGCCGAGAATTCCTCAGTGGCTTCGACTTCGCAAAACGTGTCGGTCTCGTGGGGTACCACTTATTTCGAGCACAAGTCTGGTCTGAAGCTAGACTTGAACATTGTGTAGGGCCGGAATGTCGCGATCCTCTCTATGTTTTCGAAGCAGGAGATCCCCCGGATTACCGAGCAGATGCGGCGCTACGCCTGCGACTTAATGGATGACATGGGAGTACGCTAGAGTGGTCTCTGGACCGTAGGCTTGCGGAATGCATCCCTCCTTTCGACCCGCAGTTGCTCATCAGCAAAAGTGCGAAAATCGCTTTGGGGATTGCCGGTATGGCCTGAAGCGCCGTTTCATGCGCGAGACGGCATGAGCACCCAATACGGGGGCAAGAGGGGCCCGTCCTCGCAATGTCTACAATATCGGGCGAGACTTGTCAGAAGTTTGCATGACGGCGCGCTAGTAGCGTATTTTTGCATGACAGTGCGTGCTCGCACAACGTTCAGTAGTCCTCGTGTCCAGTGAGGATAGTAACATCTATTCAAGTCATGTCAACCTATGGGACGTCATTAGGAGGGGTCGGCTTCCTGATGAGACGGTGTTGACCTGGTGCATGGGCACAGATTTTATCTGAGGCTATGTTATATTCACTACATAGCGGTCAAGCGTTCACGAGCAAGCTCAAGCTCGTCTTCATCCATATGGGGCCACTCAACCACCAGAATGTGTCTCCCAAGTAGCAGTCTCCACAGCTACTCGTCCCCCTGGGCGTTGCGGCGGCGGCAGCCATGAGACGCTCCTTCTCAGCCTGCGACACCTCGATGGCCTGTCCGTCGACCTTACCATCGACCTGACCGTCGATCTTACCGTCGAGCAGCACGACCTTGCTCTGTGCAAGCTCCAGCTCTGCGAGTCCGCACGCGCAGTCTTTGGACGCCTTCTTCCGCTGTGGTGCACCGTAGGCCGCGGGCTCGTACGCTGCTGGGACCTTCTTCGACGCCTTCTCCGGGTCTGCCTTCCGCCACAGGGAGAGTGCGGCAACGGGAGTGGTTCTGATGAAGGTAGATGCCTCTGTGGTGTGTGCAGGCTTTAGCGCGATGAAGGTGCCCTTCTTCTTTGTGCTGAGGACGGTGAAGCCGGTGGGGATGAGGTTAGAAGGAAGAGTTGGAAGAGAGGCGCCAAAATTGAGGAGGTGGAGCGTGCCTAGTGGCTTGAGGCCCTTTAGCAGATGCGGAAGGAGGTCGGGTGTCCTTGGCACGAAGTTTTTGTACTCAGGCGTGGGCAACGAAACGTGCACAGATGCGAACTTGGAGAGAGGGAGAGTTGTGGCTGGAAGTGAATGAGACCATGCGGGCGTCTCGGATAGCATTGATGTACATACCCCCGTCGAGGAACCTGTCGACTAGATGCCTCCCAACCTCGCGCATATCCTCCAGTGATCAAAGCCTGATACTTTCCATCGTGCGCAGTCGCGGGGGAGCCTATAGCGAGTGCAGGGCCTCTTGCCGGAACGGCGCTGCGACGCAGGAGGTAGTGGACGAGGGAGGGCTAGGCCGGGATGGCGATGTCAACCGCGTTGATAAGGAGGCTGCGGGACTATGTGCCTTGATGGATGGTTAGGGGGGACAGAGAGAGGGAAGAGAAAGGGACGTACTTGCACTCTTCTTAAAGTCGCTTGAGCTGTCGTCTGCGCAAGCGAGGGCGCGTTCATACTCTGTATGTGCCTGGAAGCGTGTGAGCAACGAAAAATGGCAGAAGAGGATCTGTGAAAGGCATGCGGTGATGACCTGGTTGTACTTTTCCTTCAAGACCTGGAACTTACGTGCTGTCAGTCCTTTCGAGTGGGCGAACGGGGCAGAAACCTGGCGTACTTTTCCTTGTATCGGGTGCTTTTACGGTGAGATGTAGATGGCTGGAAAAACATGAGGGTGGCGAGCAAAGACGGATAGGAAATCGCAGGGAGGGTTGAGACCTTGAGACTTCCGGCAGAAGAGACATATGCGACGCTGACTTACTCACCTGTAGATGGATTTTCCGCCTACTTTTCAGCAACCCTCACCTGCTAATCGCCCTCTTGAGCAATGGCTTCTGAGATTCGTCTTATATTGCCTTTGACGTTGAGTGTTGCTGTAGCCTGCTATAGCTGCCTTTGCGCATGTCTTGAGGCGAGAGTTCAGGTTAGTCGCTGATTCTTCCACCCACAACAAAATGTAAATGAGGACAGACAGAAGCAGGAGTTGAACAAGTGCGCATATACATAGTGGTGATGGCGAGAGGGAGCACAATATCGGTAGCTAAGTTTCCTCTTGCCCACTTGCCAGCGCGAGCACGTGTTCGACGGGTTGAACGCGTCCAGTGAGTAGACGCTCATGCGCGTCATAGCTCTCCATTCTTGCGCTATAAAGAGTGTCCTCGCGCGAGAAACTGTCAATTCCCTTCTTTCCCTCGTACTCATACGATCTCTCTCATATCACGTCCCTCAAATCCCAAACTGTCGACGGTGACTCTTACAAGCACTCACTCTCAAGCTGAAGGACCCACTGCGCGGCATTCGTGCGCTGTACGTTCATCTTCAGGCGCATATATGTGCTGATCTCCTGACTCTTGCTCATCGCAGCGCCATCGCTGTCCTGCCAGCCTGAGGCCAGTAGCTCTACAGCATATTTGGCATGTACCACCATCGTGCTCACCCCCACGTAGCCACCACCTCTGCTATTCTCCAGCGGCCCGTCGGTTCTTGTGGACCAGGCACAAGTCACATACCCAAGTCTACTTGACGCAACACAAGGTAAGTCCCCTGCTATGTCCAGTAACTGTCCGGCATTTCGTGCTCTCTCCACGCTGCATGCCGATGCCGTTGGACTTGGCTCCGCCATTGTGCACGGGTATGTGTTCGCTCCATCATAACTGGCCCGGAGTCGTCGTATCTCAGAAGAGTCCACTGAACCCGGGTGACCGTGATTGCCACACACAAGCGCAGAGACATGCGCATGTCTCCTCAAGAGTTGTGGCTTTCGAGGGTTGAAAGCACTGAATACGTGCTTGGGGCATGCATCACACACGATGATGAGTAGTGTCAGCAAGGATCGAAACTAAGACACTAATTCTATAATCCCAGTCGTTCACGGAAGCCACAACAAAGTGAGTGAACATCTCGTTCCCTCGAGGTCATTTGCTGATACCCGTTCAGACGCATGGAATTACAGGGCTTTTCGAACACACGCACATCAGTACTCTAGTATGTAGGTGACCATCGCTCAGACCGCACCACGTCTACCTTGTTTCTGCGTCCCGCTGATATTTTATCGACCATAAGGACAATCACGATGCCGCTATGTTAATGGGCATAGGCACAAACCTAACTGTCTAAGCATTCCAATCGCTTTCCCTTGGGTCCGGGATATGTGTAAGTACGTGGGCTGCCATCTCCACTCCTTCTCTTGCACGTGTTTGAATCACGCACCCCAGTGTTTTTGAGAGACACCATTGGCTGGGTCATCGGCCGGTGAGTACCGTCTTCCCCATCTGTCGAAGATGCCTGCATACTCACACACGTCGCCCTCAGGCCTGCCCTCCTTTTGAGTCGGTATCTATTCATTGGCGTTCCATATCCAGTAGGGCAGGTTGGTCTGTTCTCGTTGTGTATACGTAGTTGTGTGTATTCCGCATTTACAATATATTTCTCTGCGCCTTCTAAGCCTGACCACATACTCATAATGCAAGCGAAAATCATTGTCAATTTCAGCAGTACAGAATCTGCTCCCTGGTCTCCTCCGATTGCCCAATACGAGGAATCCGAAGACGAGGAATCCGAAGGGAGGTCCGGATTATCATGCAACATAAGCCCCTTATTGCCTCGCACTCCACCAGCTTTTTGTATTAGCCCCGTCTCGCAATCCCAGCAATACCGGGCAATCTCATAAGGTCTGGCGCTCGGACGCTGTCATCGCGTGGTACTGCAATCTTAGCAATACTAGGCAATACCGCCAAGATCTCGGCAACATTGCATGGTATTTCCGCGTATTGCCTGGTCATGCAGGTGGTCCACCCACATTGCTTTGTGTCGGAAACGCGACAGGTCCATTGGAATAGTACTCGAATCATGCCTTATATTTCCACACTTCCCTGAACAGGCACGGGTATGTAATCTACAGAGAGATTTTTACACTTTTGCTGATGCTTGCTGATACTACATGCTGCCAGTATTAGACGTCTTGCGCTCGCACTATCTCCCTGATTGTGCCTTTGCCTATCTCGCGCCTCTTGTTCGGCGCAATTCGTGTTGTACTGATGAATCAAGGATAGCGCGACCTGGTTCAAAGCTGCGTACAATATGGACTGCGACTACGAGCGAAGAATCGCGATAAGCCATGACACGACACGTAGCACTGGTACAAGGCACGTGGTCGCGCTAGGAAAGCCGCCCTCTGACCCTGGTCGGACGCAGCAGCTGGCCTTTGAAATTTGAGGTCCAACTGGATGGTCGACACCTCAACTACGGTCCGTCGTTTCGAGCCCCTTCTCGGGCGGTTGTATCTTCATAGACTCTATTCTATACATACATACCGCGCCCAATCTAGGTACGAACTTATACAAATACGCCGGAGGGGGAGGAGATCATCCGCCAGACTGGCCGGCGCGCAATCGCAGCTATCCGGCGAAAGAGGCCTTCCGAGTCCCGACGCCTAAGCAGGCCGAGACGCCCGACTCGCCCGCAGAAAGGTTGCCTTCCCACCTATCTGAGGCTATCTCCATCTTGACCACAGATCGGCGTAGTCCCATTTTGTACTGGCGTAAAGGAGGTAGCACCCCGGGCCTCACGTACATGAGCTGTGTTCGTGACGGTTTGTGGGTATGGCGAAGAGGTGCGTGGTCAATGGCCACCTCGGATCTGTCGGGCTAGTGACGGAGGGGATCGGTGGGAATGAGACTCCGACCCTCTGGGAGGGGAGAAAGGAGCAGAATGTATACGCCGCGTAGCGTAGCTCTTGCGCCTTGCGGGAGCCAGTCAACCGCGGGACCCGACCCACGCTTGGCATGTGCAGATGCGCGAAAGGTAGGCAAGCGCAGGGGGAAACCAGTGGCACGAGTGCGGAAACTTACCTTGTGCATGAGTTTGGAATGTACAACCGTGGACGGGCATTCGTTCGAAAGGCAAGACAGAAGCTGCTTAGGTGCAGGAAGAAACGGCACAAGCCCGCGAACGATGCCCATGACGCGCTCGAGAGGGCGGTGTTGACGCTGCATGGGCAGCGATACAGGTTGTGGACCAGTTCAGCACACGCATGGCGGACTCCAGGAAAGAGCGGACACACTGCGCCCGTCCCGTAGGTGCCATCTCAGGCGTGTGTGTGTGGTGATATGCGGCGAAGTTACTGCTCTCTCGGGTCCAGTTGTTTGCGGAGGTGTCCCACCCGTGTACTACGAGTTTATGATACCTGCGAAGGGATGTGAGCATGAATGAGAGTTCCGCGATCGGTCCATTGCTGAAACACTACTGGCAGTGGCGAAGTGGCGTATGAGAAGAAGGCAGTGAGGCAGCGGACGCCTTGTCCTAACATCACCTGTCAGCGGCGTGCGCGAGAAGGATGGGAGGTGCTCATGGAAGATGCGAGAATGAAGCACACCTGTTTCGCACTCACGCGGAGCGGGATGAATAATGCGCCAGCCAGCTTCATTTGCGATGGTGTCCAGCGGCGAGAAGTGCGATTGCAAAAGGACGAAGAGATCGAATGAAGCGCACCAGCACTGGTAGCGTGTTGCGATCGCAATCGAAGCTACGGCGCTTCCTAGATATCAATTGATATGGGCGTATAGAGAGGCCTCCATCGAAAGTATCCTAAAAGCGGGCTAGGAAGAAGGGAGGGAAGGATGGTATCGAGGTCGGTGCGGGAGGATTCGCGTCCACGCACTGTCTGGGCTCGAGGTACAGCATACAAGATCAGCGCGAGCTGTTGGGTAGTATCGGGTACTTGCTAAAGAGGAAGATCAACTCACCGGCTCGACCCCCGGCCATTGTATACGTATCCGCGAGTGTCTGCTATGACAGCTCTCAATCAGAGTCGTAGACGCTAGCGCCCTCCTCACCCATACATCGGAACAACCGCTTCGAGCATAAGCCGGGATTAACGCACGTTGTGGCGTTAGCTCAGGATGAAAGGTTGAGCGAGTGATGACAATGAGGCGATGCGATTTCCACTGTATGTGCCTTCGCTGTCTCGATAGACAGCCACAGCAGGACTCCCACTGTGTATTCGATGCGAGGTGATTTCTGGACACAGCCTTGGACGGAATGATGAAGGACAAGACGGAAAGGGGTATTGTGGCGGGAGTATTTCCAGGGTCTATTCTCCGTCCGTCATTCAAACGTCGGCGGAGTACATAGGAACATATCAAGATTCGCAGACGACGGGCACGGGGCAGGATGCCGTTCCTCTGGATAGCAGGACCGTTACAGTGACGGAATCGGCCACTGCTCACTTGCTGCTCTCGAAGCATGCAATCGGAGAGTCAGGCGTGATTTCCTCGTGCCTCATAAGGATTGGACTGCGGTATTTACGCGACCTATGCCCACAGTCAGCGCTGATGATCACGAACCGATAAATAGACTTGACGCACATTGACACGAAGCCGTGGGTCGGGAGGTGATCCGGCTCTGCCATCGCACTGCGCCCGAGCGACGGGCAGTGCCCGTAGCGAGAGATAGCTGACGTAGGTGTCATCAGTCTGCGTCTGACCACATCCACGATGGCGCACGTGTACTGGTTGTTCTGTCAGTGGGAAACGTCAGAGGTGCGTCAACGGACTCGGTGCGTTGGAAAATGGTTATCTGGAGTTGCGACAGTGAACTCGGAGATGGCGCACCATCCTTCGGTGACCAACTCTAAGTCGGGGTACGCCACAGGATCTGCAGGCACCGGAGTCGAAAGAGTGAACGATACTTGTATCGGCACGACAGGCCGTCAAAGAGGGTATAGCCGGGGTGCTAATCAAACATCTCAGCAATCTTGATTGTTCTCCACACCCCACCATACGGCCTCATAGCGTCTGTGCATTGAAGTGGTTGAGGAGCTGCAACTGCAGTCGATGGAAGTACTGACAACGGCTATAGGTATCATTGCATAGCATTGAAGGATTGACAAGAAACCGTGACGAGACACGCACAAGACATGCGGGCCAAGAGCTGATCACAACACATCTGTCAAGCAGAACGATGTGGGCTGCACTCCCGGCGGCGAAGAATGGCGACTAGATAGGTGCATCACTCTTCCTGATGCTGCCACAGTCTTGGAGAGACGTGGACTATAGTGGAGACTTCTCACGTCGTGCCAAGAATATGCGAGCAGCGTTCTGTAAGCGGAAGAGATACCACTCGCGTACACGACCTCCAAGGGCAGCTCGGGGCGTGTGAGTATGCTTGTCTGAAAGCGCAAAGCAGGCCGACAGGCTAAGAAGGACAACTTGAGAGAGCATTTCGGCGAGCTGTTGGAACGATGTTTACAATTGGCCACTGGGCCAGCGCTCCTTGGGCTTGTTTGAGCATCACCGTCGCGGACACATGCACGACAGTGCACGACGTGGTTTCAACGGCCGTCCATCTGTCTGTTAGCGAGGGAAACCTGGCACAGTGATGATCACGAACGCGCATTGAGATTGCCGCTTCGCCCACGGAGAGAGCTTGACGCTTTTGGGTCCGTTCTTCACGACATAGGGGGCGTGCAATCAGATCTTGATATGCTGAGGCCGTCGGAAACGTTCCGCAGGCACCCGCAGTGCAGATCAGTGTGCGAAAGACAACAGAAACGTCGGAGACGATATGTCGTTGCTCTGGGGACGAGCTCAGCGCACCCTGCGACGAGATCGCGCGTAACCGGCCGGGCGTCTCCGTCGAGTAGACAACAAGATCGGCTCTATATAGACATTCTCCTCCGTCTGCAGTCACTGTCTTTTGTTCCTCTTCCCGCCCTCCTCCTTGTCTTCCTCATACACCCACCATGCCCGACCAGACAGCCCCTGCTGCTCAGCCCGCGGCTGCCACCAAGTCCAAGCACAGTCACGCAGCGTCCCAGGCGCAACCGGCACCACGAAAAGTGCGATTCAATGTCGGTGCGTACGCTTCTCCAGGTTCACACACGCCCGTCTTCGAACAGGGCACACACAGGCACCCAGTACCAGGTCCTCGACGTCGTAGGAGAGGGCGCGTATGGCATCGTATGTTCTGCCATCCACAGACCAAGCGGGCGCAAGGTCGCCATCAAGAAGATCGCTCCCTTCGACCACTCCATGTTCTGTTTGCGTACCCTCCGTGAGCTCAAGCTCCTCAAGTTCCTCAGTGAAGCCGGTGTCAGCGAGAACGTGCGTACGGTTCTATGACCGTCGATCGACTGTGCCGGTCCATCCGGACTCGGTGCTCAGGATAGACGTGTGCTGCGGGCTGACAGACATCGACCGAAAACAGATCATCTCAATATTGGACATCATCAAGCCGCCATCTATAGAGCAGTTCAAGGAAGTCTACTGTGCGTGGGATCCGTTGCTTAGACACGAACACAACCTAGGTCTGTGTCTGCGCTGAGAAGCGTACTGACAACGACCGCGCCTCCGCGTTCTGTAGTGATCCAGGAGCTGATGGAGACCGACATGCACCGCGTCATCCGCACGCAGGACCTCTCCGACGACCATGCTCAATACTTCATCTATCAGACACTGCGCGCCCTCAAGGCGCTGCACTCCGCCGACGTCATCCACCGGGACCTCAAGCCCTCTAACCTCCTTCTCAACGCCAACTGCGACCTTAAGGTCTGCGACTTCGGCCTCGCGCGTTCAGTGCGCACGGCGGAGCCATCAGGGACAGAGACGGGTTTCATGACTGAATACGTTGCGACGCGATGGTATCGCGCGCCGGAGATCATGCTTACGTTCAAGCAGTACACCAAAGTACGTACCGCGATCTTCCTTCGGCGCCTGCTCCTCTCGCTTGCGGCACAATGCCACACGGCCACCTCTGTTCGCGCTTCCTGACCACATTGCCATCAGGCCATCGACATCTGGTCAGTCGGCTGCATCCTCGCCGAGATGCTTTCCGGCAAGCCACTATTCCCGGGCCGCGACTACCACCACCAGCTCACGCTCATCCTCGACGTCCTCGGAACACCAACGCTGGACGAGTTCTACGCGATCACCACCCGGCGGTCGCGTGACTATATCCGCGCGCTGCCCTTCCGGAAACGGAAGCCGTTCGCGCAGCTGTTTCCGAACGCGAACCCCCTCGCGATCGACTTCCTCACGAGGACATTGGTGCGTCCCCCCGCGTGGCTGCAGAGTGGTCATTTCTGTTGCTGACTTGACGCGCGCGTATGCATCGTAGACTTTCGATCCGAAGAAGCGTATCACAGTGGAGGACGCACTCGCGCATCCATATCTCGAGGCATACGTACGTAAGCTTCCTGTGTCCGGATTTACACATACTGAGGTGTCATTGGTCCTTGCAGCACGACCCGGAGGACGAGCCTGTAGCGCCTCCTCTGGACCCTGAGTTCTTCGAGTTCGATCGTGAGTATCCATACGTTGACTGTCCTCGCCGCTGTCGCTGACGGAACCTCGCGTGTAGTCCACAAGGATGACATCAGCCGCGAACAGCTTAAGGAGCTGCTCTACGAAGAGATCATGTCCTTCCGCCCGCCACCCATCTCATAATCATCTCACACGCGCCTCACCCACATATAGTCAATGTCGTTCACGTCCGCTCACATCACTCGTGCTGTCTCGTTCTATCATACGTGCGTCTTGTTCCCATAGGTGTGCGGGCTTCGCGTGGCTGACGGCCGGCTGTCCCTCTAGCTAGCTCATTTCTGTTGAAAAATGTACACTGCATCCCCATCCATTTACGACTTCGTACTCCTTCCGCCAATGCTCGTCGACGGCAGCGCCGTTTCCTTCACTGCGCCTGAACGCCCTTGTCCCTTCAGTAATTTCAAGTCTTTAAACACCGTTTTCAGGACTTATTCGCGTCGGTTGAGGGTACGGTCGGTCGTCCGTCTGTTTGGCAGTAGTGATAGAGTAGCTGGTTCATCTTGTCTCACCATGTACGTTATCGCAAAGCAGAACATCGAAGCAAGCTGTCGTTGGACGGGCCGGCGTGATGACTGTGGAAGCTGATCGATTTTCTTTGAAGAACTCAACTGGCATAGGCCTCATCAGATGATAGCTCCCAGCGTATGCTGGACCGCTGAGGCTGTCTGAAAAGTCCAGGTCGAGGTAGTGCGGGGTAGACATCGACGCCGACGCGAAGGATATCGCCGCCCAAGGGGTACGTGCACCCATTGTCAGGGCTGTTGAGTAATGCTATAGTGATGAGGAGTGAAACTCGCAAGACCGCAGTGTCGAGGAAGAAGGCGAAGAGGAAGAGGTCACGTAGGACGGGGAGATAGCCCGCAGGTACTATGGGATCTGATATTAGTGGAGACGATCAACAACCTCCCTCCGTCCAGCCGCAATACATATGCACACACGGAGCACACACAGTCGACCGTTGCGGTACGATCATACTGGACATTTACCTAACGTTCTCACAATGTTCCTCATGAACATGTTCCCACGGCACATATCGGGTCAAAGCTACGTATGATCTGACTGGCGCGGTAATGCTGGCACTGTCCAGGACTCCCGGTTGAACACGAACGCGAACCCACACTACTTCGTTGGCCCTCAACATGAAGGACGGTAGGTAGCCTTCTCCTCAGTCCTTTCGAACGCCACAATCCCGTCGAACGGTCGTGGTACACCTCAACTCGACTGGGACGTACTACATACCATCTGCGATCATTTGACCGATACCTCCGACATCCTCTCCCTCTCTTGCACCTGCACCTCTCTTCGTCCAGTAGCAATGCAGCGCTTCCTCAGCGTCCGCCCCATCGTACTCAAGGACGCTCGCTCGACGTGCAACATCCACAGTCTTATCTTTGCCGACAAGACGCGTCGCGCATCTCACGTACGCGCTCTCCAGCTTACCACCTGGGACTTCGGCACGTCGTATGACCGGAGCGATGTTGCGGACCGCCTGCTTGCCATCCTGAAATGTGCCGATCGTCTCGAGAGCTTTCATACCTCTGACGATATTCTCTCCTCCGAATTTGACACTAGAATCCTCCCCGCTATCGTCAAGCTCACTACTCTGAGAGAACTCTCTATTGCATGTGGTCGATATGACCTCGGGGAAAAGAACCCGATACTGAGCATCCAATCGCCTCTCAAGATTCTCTATGCTGGCTTCCGGACCACCCGATGGACTTGTCTGGGGCAGTTTGGACACGACAACAAGCCGTCATGTCGCGACCCTCGAAGTGCTCCACCTGGACTGGGTAGACTTTGGTGACGACAACCATAGCGTTCACCAAGTCGTCACTGAATGTCCAGCGCTCCGGTCGTTCATCGTCAACTATGCCGAAGGCCTTCCGCGACTTCCTTGTCTTCTGCAAGTGTTCCCTGCATTAGATGATACGTTAGCCTTCAACGATCAGGGTGGCCGCAGGTGGTGGAAACTCAATGACGGCCTCTTGCACCGCGTTCGAGATGAGAACAGGCGGGCTCAGGAGTCCCACTGTTGGGTAGGCCTCGACTATGTTTCCTGAGAGGTGCACATCTTCGCTCTTGACCTCCAGTTTCTTGAATACGCCACGCGAAGATCATCGACTGCTCTGCTCAGACCAGAGACTACGTCGCCACTGCCCTTCGCGACAACCCTCCTCGTCAGCTCACTCTTCTTATAGAGTTCGAGCGTGGTCTGTCGTTCTACGACGGGCTTTTTCCGCCTCAGCTGGGGACCACCCACGTCACGGTCATCTTGACGTACTCACAAAGTCACGAAGAGGAGTACCTCGCGGACATGAACTTCATCACTGACGTCCAATGGGACCAGTTCCTCGTGAGTAACCCATGTATCTGTCCTGGCCTTGCACCAATCGGTCATTGCAGGATACACTTGTCCGCTCCATAGCGCACCTGTCCTTGAGGTGTCTCAGCGTCCGCCGTCAACTTCTACATTAGTTTTTGGGACGACGATCGCACAGGCCAGCGTCTTGAGCTCTCCAAAACATTTCTGCGCACTGTGCGGAACCTTCCGTTCGAGCAAGTTGCATCTCGGCTCGCTTCTGCGATCCCTTCGTTGGAGCTTGTGCGTCTGATCACCTACGGCGATATGCGTCGGGACCGGTACCGTTCTAAGGACACGTGGTGGATCGGCAGAGCGCTTCGAGCTTCCTACGTCACGGACGAGAACGGTGGAGGCGGCAGAAAGCGCGTCCAGATGGCGGAGTTGAGCACCGAAGCCATGCATGAGATATTCGCGAGGGAGAACATGCCAGTAGACGTCGAGGAGGTGCAGTAGAAATTTTGGATCGACTCGATCATTGATGTGTGCTGATTCCTGACATTCCCCGTGTATTGTCGCGAACACAGCGGTACACTTCAAAGATGGAGTAGCCTACACAAACGTGACGCAGATCCGCAAAGTAGAGTATTGTCCCAATGCAACTCGCGTCTGAGTACATTTCGTACACCGTTCGCGATGGGATCGATTACTCGTATGTTCCCGTTGTTAGGCGCACGGCTACAAAGCACGGCAGAGAAGCAGAGACAGAGGAGTCTGGTAGCTCTCAGCGCAGCCTTTTTGCTTCCATCCTGTTCAACACGACCATGGACATCTTCTGTGTGATCTGAAGCTCGGGGACCGCCTGGACTCGAGTCGAGCTCGAGCACTTGCTATCCACAAAGTCCGGACAGGTAGCCTACGGACTGTGCATCGGCCTCGAAAGCGGTGGTAGACAAATACCGCGCTTTGGGTGGACTCAGCTTGGAGAGTGTCTGCGAGAAGGCTTCGTCGTGTTCCAATGGGTTGGGTCGCGCGGGATGGGTCGTCCGCCTTCTGCCAACGGACGCAACGGTGAGGACACGAGGCAGAAAAGTTCATGTCCAAGCTCAATATCATCGATGAAAAGAGCAGAATTAGGTAGTACAGCGCGACTGGTAGTTGCACCGTTCCGGGTTTGATTCTGACGCGGGCCCAAGCGAAAGATTGGACCACGTGGTTATGCCACGGTTGGGCTCGGTTCGAAAACCTTTGTCCACGGACCACGACCATCTTCCAGAGAATGCCTGAAGATTACACGGTGGAAGTCATACTCGAAGACATCTAATTAGCTTCCATGACATGGACGCACCAAGTTCGCCAGCCTCAACCGCCGCCTCTGCATCTACCGCCGTGGCGGAACAGGCCCCTCCCTCTCTTGACCCAGGTGCCTCACCAGATTGACATGAAGAGGAAGAAATCAGAGACGAAGAAGGATACACAGACGAGGAAGAAATTCCAGATGGCATCGAACTACCTATGCGCCACTTCGAGTGGGGGGTGAGCTACTGAATTCCCCTCCATCCGAGCCTACATTGACACCGCGATGAAGGGCAATGTCACACGAAAGAGGCTTCCCATGCCCTCACTCCCCTTATGGCTTAGTCCCACCTTCGTCGGCATCTATGGCCCCCGGAAACTACCTCTGTGCTGGTATGGGTATCACTTTCTCCCCCGTCGCATCTATAAATACGCCGAGCGTATTGATCTCGGGGCGTACTGACGCGAAAATTGCCTTAGGTTGAAGGCGGGGGATCTGCACGCGTCCCAGACTTGAGTCAATTTCACTGATTGGTTCTAGAAGAGATCTGGCCTCGAAATCCACCTCAGGCAAGTGTGGAGATTCGAGGAGTATCTTGACTTTCTTCTGGATCCAACCACGAGCTCTTGAACATCAACGACGACAAATAAGGTCAAGCGTGGGATCTGTTGGACGACATAGAGTACCCATGGGAGTATCAGCCGCATTGGTACCTCGGCCAAGAGATTAGACGTGCGTGCATGAAGTTTCCTTGTCGGTCGAAGCCTTCTGACGTTCATGCTAGTATGAGAGTGTGCGGCTTTCAGGCTCTCGCCCTCCAACCTCTCGAACCGACACGTCAGCCACCCAGACGATTGAGAGGAACGCTAGACAGCTTCAATCGAGGCTGCTCTGCTCGCTAGCCATTCAGCACACGGTATTGTCAATAGTTCGCACTCCGACGTACATCTTCTGTGGTGCCTTGAAGGCCTTCGGGGTCATTCCCATTTGTGAGTCCCAAACATCAGACTAGTTATTGTAGTCGGCGCAATCAGAGCCCCTACTGCATAAGTATTGAGAGCAGTATGAGAGGTACAAAGTAAGTCAAGTTGGGAACGATTGCCGAACCCGCCCCATTGTCCTTCTGTGCGTGATCTGGTATTGCCTGAGGAGCCTGCGGGGTCGGGGCTGGGGTTGAGATTGAGGACGACCTCGGGTTCGACGCCGTGGACAAGTGAATGGTGCCATTGGAAACAACGCTCAGCAGCTTGTTGAAGTCCGGCGTGCCTAACCCAGTAACCTGAATTCGCACGCCACCAGAATTAATATCCCTTCTGCCAAGATTGCACAACGCAACTACGTACCGGATCCCATCCAGCGGCTGCTTGAAAGCCCTCCGTACCACAGCCAGGGTTGCTCCCTGTCGTGATGTCGTTGAACGCAGAAACGCCGCTCGAGTAGAGCAATGGGTTGAGGAACCCCAAAGGGCTCTTCCCAGCATTGAGCAGCTGGTCGTTCAACAGAGCGACCACGCTCGCGAATGCCGGCGCTGACGCGCTGGTCCCATTGACGAGCACGTCCTGCCCGTTGACCTTGATAGCAAAATTCACACCTTGCATCGACACATCCGGGTACGCACGTCCCGAAGCGTCGAACAGTCCGGCATTTGTTGAATTGAGCTTCTTCAAATACGCCGCCACGGCGTCTTTCTGGTAGTCCGGGCAGGTAAAGGTGTTGGAGAAGCCCCCGCCTGAGAACGAAGCCGCGGTCTCCGGGATGTTGGCGGTGCTACCGACTGCGGTCACACTGGAATGAGGTTCAATTTTCTGCTCAGACGAGGTGTCGGAGAGCAGGATACTCACTACGGGCAGCTCGCGGGGAATGACGGTTGGAGTGCCTTCCCTGCGGAGCACGTCACCGAGTTCCCGGCGACTCCGTTGTCCCCTGTTGAGAATATGACCGTTGTCCCTCGAGCACCCAACTGCATGTAATAGTTGCAGAGCATCCTGACGGTGACATCTCTCCATTGACGTCAATTTGCAGATCGGGAACGAGACACTCACGTTTGCATGTCCACGCTATCTGGCTCCTCGATGAAGCCCGCACTCGTAGAGAGAACCAATGGAACCTGATCTTGTTTGAGCAAGAACTGTGCCATAGCAACAAAGTCGCTCATTTGCGAGCTGGACGAAGAGAGCAGAGTAGTCGAAACGTTCGTCGCCAAACCTGCGGTGTATTGCACGTCGAGGCTCTACGTCGCTGAAGTGAGCCGCAGTCCATGAGCGAATCTCGAGACAAGTGCGTACCCCTTCGATAGTGGCCGATTGAGAGTTGAGCTGGGTCCCGTCGAGGGATGTGGTACTCAACGTCCCGTTGGGGAAGTCAGGACGCTGAGCTGCAAGGAAACTCTGACAATTTCTTTGAGTGAAGGCTGTGGTGTCGAGCATGCAAACACGTACGGAGAGATCTGCTTGCGTTGCCATGTTACTATTGAAGCCGCCTACGAAGATGCTGTTGTTTGCTGCCGTAGCAGGAGCTGATGGGATGTTGTACAGTGCTTGAAGGCAGCTTGGGGTCATCCTCTGGTCGCAGCTTGCAGGAACGTCTTCTCTCCTGGGGGAGCTGCGCTGTTCTGTGTTCGCCGGATGTACAATCTTGACAGCAGCTGCACCGACGGTCGGGGCCGTGAACCTGCGCAATGATGAGCAGTTGAGAGTGCATTGCAGTGTCAGTGCTTACTGCGTAGTCGGATACACAAATGCGATGTGCTCATGCAGGTGCGCCGGGAGAGAATACGAAAGCGTGCGTGTCATAATCATATTCGTAGCGTCGTGAACATAAGGAGTGAAATTAGCCGCGAGTAAGACGTTCGCGCGTGCAATTGGGAGCTCAAGATCTAGCGTGTCCCCGGATCCGGACTGCGCAGTTGGGGTGATCCCATTCGATGTCAGCCAGTTCATCACCGCCTTCGTACTGTCGGGCCTTGGCGCTGCAAATTGCTCAACCTGGATACCCACGTAATTGAGCTGAACACGACTGCGTGTCTCGGAGAGCCGAGCTGCTTACCTCATGTTTGGAGAGATGTCGACCATAATTGGCGCTTGACGGATGACTGACATCGAGGAGCGCGGCCTGAAGTCCGGAAAGGTCAGGTTGTGTTATGGCGATAGTCAGTCGTAGCGTGTCTTCAGAGACGTGGCCTAATGAGAACCCTGAGGGAGGACCCGGACGCTGGCTGCGAACGACCAATTCCAAGGGGGTGGTTGTGGGCCTGCCCCAGACCACCGGAAGAAGGAACAAGAGCAGGCCCGCTGCAACCATATTGAAAAAAACGAAAAAAAGACGAACGGAGAAGGAAGAATAAGGGAGGGGTCGCCACGAGCCAGGGACGCTCAGGGCTAGGCCCGTGTTGCACTTTATAAAGAACGTGGATTGGAGCACGCGGCAAACATCTCCGCGATCAAATAACGCACTAAATGTACTGCTTGACCAGCGTATAGGTATACTGCATGCCACTGGTCAATGGCGTATCCACACCGGGGGCATCGACCTGTGGCATATCGTGTCCCATTGCAACCCCATCGTAATCAGAAACACTGTAGGTGAATCACCTAGTTGGGCATCCCATCGTAATCCTCTTTGGGAGGTTTGATAAAACCGTGTTATATGCTGATTTTATTCGATGTGCAGTGTGCGGCTGACGTGGGATCAATGTGGGACGCGGCGAGACATGGTTGTCTCAACGTGGCTCGGATCACGATACCTCTACGATGGGACACGTTGTCCTATAGTCCAATGCCCACGGTGCCATCTATCCAATGGTCAGTCATGGACGCATCCAGGGTGATCAGGAAAGCAGGGACGTGAAACGCGCTTTTTTCTGTAGTGAATCAGTCTGCAACACCGCACCGGCTCAGGTGTGGTACGTGAGAGGCGGATGCGATACTGGGGATATGTTCGGTCTACGGTCACGCCGGGTAGGTGTCTACTTTGATTGTCGATGGCACTCGGGCGTCTCATGTGGAGATGACACGGACAACACAACGTCGACGAATGATGCCTGGACGTCCGGGCTATAGCTACACAATGCATCATACTGCTTTCCCTGCAGTAGGCGTGAGGTATCCGGGAGTGAAGTCAGCTAACTAGGGCAGAATGGACGAGTACGAATGGCCACACACCGCGAGAACATGCGCTGTTGGGATCGAATTGTTGGCGCGTGCTGCGGGATGACAAACTGAGTATTAATATGACAACACTGTGCAGAACGCACCATCGTCATCAGACCGTAGCTCTTGCCATTGGGTGGGATATCTAAGACGCATTACTGGCAGGATAGCTCACGGACCGAAGGGAGCAATAGCAATACGTCTATACAGCTACGTGTTGCTACGTTTTTACGCACCGCATTCCTATGCTAGTCACCTGGCTATGCCCGGCGAAACTTCCGCAAGTTCTCAATCTGGGACCCCTCGAGGCGCATGCCTTGCCATTCCGACATAGCCTTCGCCCCGAGCGTCTTTTCGTAGAAGTCGATCGATGGCTGGTTCCACTGCACGTTCCTCCCCAGTTAGGCTGTACACTGCCTAGTGACATAGAGCTCGACAGACCTTGAGCACCTGCCAATCTATACGTGCGCAATCCTATGGCAGACGCAGTGAGGGTCCTACAATATGTCTGCGGGTCGTCATGAATGCCCACCTTCTCTTCTGCAACCTTACCGAGCTCGGCGAAAAGCGCCTTACCGACGCCCTTTCCTCGAGCGGCTGGGTCAACGAAGAGGTCCTCGAGCTGCGCATGTTCGTAAGTCAGATACGTGCGCAAGATGTAGAGATGCGAGATGCCGCACGTATATTCCCGGCTTTCCGGTCCACGTAGAGTAGTTGAAGAAATACATGGCCATCCCGATGGCCTTGCCTGGGGCTTCAGGCGTGCCCTCGAACGCAAGGAGAGTGTGCGCGTAGTTGTGCTCAAAGAGGTTCCGCCGATACTTGAAGTGCTGGTCAGGAAATCCCATGGTGTCTCAGGAAGCCGCTCACGAGTTCAGGAGTCGCTTTTACGGACTCTGGCTCTTTCTCGTACTCTGCCTACAATTTGTGAGAAATGACTCGGGGAATCGTAGTGCAAGACGGGAACGCACCAGCGCGCGTACAAGCTGCAAGATCTCATCCTAGAGCGTTTATCAACGCAAATCACGTATTTATGTGTGCATATATGCATACCACGTCCTCGACGGTGGCAAGACGGATAAAGTAGGCCATGTCGAACGCAAATCTGGGCGCCAGCTACTGTGCAAGGAGGAGGAACTCGTTAAGCGCTGTACTCGCGTGGCTGAATGGGCTGATTGTATGGTCATGTTTTGTCACAAACCTTAATCTTTTGTGCAGGCTGCCAGTCGCCTCAACCCCGCCGCCCGAGCTCGACGACGACCCCGATCCACAACATTCTTCATCATGGACCCCGCAAAATTGGCCAAGCTGCAGGCCCAGGCCGCGGCCAACAGGATCGGTGCGTTTTTTCTGCGTCCGATGCCGACCCCTTTTGCCCTCGCGAGCAGTAGAGAGACAGAGACTGGCGGATGATACGGACAGGTTGAGGCGGCGAGTGGGCGAAGAGTGATATGAGGGCAAAAGGGGTACATGGATCACACGAGTACTCACGCGAGCGTACGGAAATATCTGTGTAGGCGGTAAGGGGACCGTGCGCCGCAAGATCGTGCGGAAGACGAAGCCGTCGACCGCGCAGGACGACAAAAAGCTGCAGGGCGCGCTCAAGAAGCTCAACGTCCAGCCTATCCCTGGCGTTGAGGAGGTCAACATGTTCCGCGAGGACGGCAATGTTCTCCACTTCAGCACGCCTAAAGGTGCGTCGCGTCTCCGGCTTTCCCTCACTTACCTTCCCCTCTTTCCGCTCCTGGACCTTGATATTATCATAAACCACGCACGGCTGCGCAGCTGGGCGTGTATGCTTCGGCAGCAGTAGCTTTAGCATCGCGCAGATCCGTTCTGCATATACAACTTCACTCATTATCGCTTATTCGTCTGAGGCGCCTAACACTCACGCTGGTACTGTATAGTGCACGCGGCAGTTGCCGCCAACACCTTCGCCGTTTACGGCGCCGGGCACGTGAAAGAGCTCACAGAGCTTGTCCCCAGTATCCTCAACCAGCTCGGCCCCGACTCACTCGCATCGCTTCGCAAGCTCGCCGAGTCGTACCAGGCGATCCAGCAGAGCCAGCAGCGGCCACCAGCTGGCGGTGCGGACGACGACGATGACGACGTTCCCGACCTTGTCGACAACTTCGATGCCGTCGAGGACAAGCCCGCCGCCGAGGGTGAGGCCGAGAAGGAGGAGAAGAAGGAGCTTCAGGAGCTCGAGTGAGCGAGCGGTTCGGTCGCTGATATCACGGCCTTCACACCGACGTAGTAGTATCTGTGCCTTTTTGCTCTGCTCCTGCTCCTCCGACTCCTTTCCTTCTGCCTTCTGTATGTCGTATGAGCAGCGCCCCTCCTCGTTTCCCCCGTACTTGCCATCTGCTCGCTCTAGCTAGCCACTGTCATTTCTAGGTACCCGCTGTCTCCCGCACACGACTGTCAATGACTGCATTGTAAACTGACCGCAAATGCTGTATACTGCATCTCACTCACGAATGTGTGCTCGCTGATGCTGTCCTGGCCGACAAGGTCAGCGATGACGAGGGAGTACAATGCTTCGAAGTTCGCAACAGTACAATATCTCTTGTCGCCCTAACTTTACATTTACATGGCATGATTCCGGTTCCTTCATCGATCCCCTCCTCAAGCAAGCCCATCTTCAAATCGCACACAACACCCTACGCATGGAACGTCACGTTCCACACCCTCACAGATCCGTCCGCCCCGGCGCTCGCGAGCTCCCCGTCCTTCAGCCAGAAGACAGCGTTGACCCCGCCTGGAGAGGCGTTTTTGATCGCGATGTTCTTCATTGGCTTCTCGGCGCTCCAGACGTAGACATGCGTGTCGAGCGAGCCGGACGCGCAGTGCTTCCCGTCGGCGGTCCAGGAGAGCGAGTTGATCCTCCCGCTGTGGAAGGACCAGCGCGAGGTGACGAGCTTGTGCGCCGCGGCGTCGAATAGCGCGATCTTCCCACTCGACTGCGCGCGGGGTTATCAGGTCAAAATCGCCAGGAGACATGGGGACGGGACGGGCATAGAAGGGATGAGCACTTACGTCGCCAGAGGCGAGGAGCTTGCCATCGGGCGAGAACGCGAGCGCGCTCACGGTGCCCTTGTTGCCCTCGAGCGTCGCCTTCTCCGAGAGTGCCTTCCCGTCCCAGCTGTACAGCCGCACCTTCTGGTCCTGTTTTGGACATACCGTCCGTCAGCGGGGGAGACAAAAAAGCAGGAGGGGACGCACCTCTCCGCCGACGGCGACTTGCGAGCCGGACGCGGCGATCGCGCTCGGGGAGTACTTGAGCGGGAGGTCAAACACCTTTTGGTTCGACCGCACGGCTTCGACGCTCTCCACTTCCGCGACGAACACCGTCGAGTCGCCGCTGACCGCAACACCGGCCTTGGGCTGAGCGGCGGTCGAGAACGACGCGGGCCTGTCTCGCCAAGATTGTTCAGTTCATCTCTCATCCTCTCGTCCGCAGAACAGATTGATGGATCGGGACTCACGTGTAGGCCTTGCCGTCGATCTCGCGCAGACGGTCGTCGAAGCCGACCGAGTGCACCGTGCCCGAGGGGGACGCGCTGAGGCCGGCGACGAGGCTCGCGTGCGCGTCCCCGCCGACGTACTCGTACTCGTTCGCGAACGAGAGCACACGCCCGTCGGCGGTGCCGACGATGAACGTCGCGTCAGACGAGGGCGCTTTGATCGCGGATGTGATCGCCTTTTGCGGGCCCTGTGATGGACATGGGAGCGCGAATTTGGTTCAGTATGGAAGACGGCAGGGAGAGTACAAGATGTGAAGGACACACGTAGAGGACGCGCGCGGGCTTGTTTCCAACGCGCTTATCGAACACGTTCAGGTCCCCGGATATGGAGAGCGAGACGATGTGGTCACCCGCGGTCCAGGTGTTGCCAACTTGCTGGTGGTTCACCCCGGAGCCGAGCGTCCAGGTGGTCTGTGCCTTCTTTGTCTCTACGTCCCCTGCACGGTGCTGGGTTAGCAAAGGCCAACAGGTAGTGGAGGACGGACCGTACAGAGCTTGACCGTGCCGTCGGCCGCGGAGGTGACGAGCGACTTGCTGTCGGGGCTCCAACTGACGGCCATCTATGGTTTGCCGCAATTGAATTCACGGCGAGGGAAAGGAAGGCAGATCAGTGCTTACGACGCTACCAGTGTGTGGACTGTCGGTGAACTCGCCGAGAGTATCTCCGGTCTTGCCGTCGTAGACGAAGATCTTGTAGTCCGAGCCTACACTAGCGAAGTGGTCTCCAGAGGAAGCGTATCGGACATCCTGGACGAACTTCGTGTGTGTCTTGATAGTCTGAAAATGTTACTTGCATGAGAGACCTTCATCCCATCTGCGACTGTCTACCTGTTCTGACCTTGTCGTACTTGAAAGGCACTCCTGTATAGTGATTCAGTCGGTAGAGCAAGTAAGACGGGGATGAGACGCTGACCTTGGTGGAACACGATAGTCGCATCATCTGCAGCAGTCGCAGCGCGGAATGGCCGCTGTTGCCTGATACTGACGGCGTTGATGGTCTTCGACAGCCCTCAGCGGCGGTGCATGGTTCGAGTGGTTAAGCTTACCTTTGCATGACCGATGATCTCTCCCGTAGACGAGCCAGTATCGAACATGAACGCATGACCGAACCTACGCAACCAAGCTCGATGCACCTCAGAGTAGCAAATAGAGCTGCACTCACTTGTCTCGACCGTCTCCGACTGCAACGATCCGCTTGCTCTCGCCGTCCCACTCGAGGTCTTTACTTCACCGTCCACAAAGCGCTAAGAATCAGCACGCGCGCGGCCTGAGAGGTTGAGGCCCCGTTCGGTACGTCGGGTTAGAGTACAATAGGCTCAGCTTTCCCCGCCAAACCGCCGTGGCCGCTCGGTGCCCCACTCTCATCACTGAGCGGCTGCGGCGAGTTTGGCTGGTAATCCAACCCCATCCTAATCCTATCCGACGTGCCGAACGGTGCATGAAGGTGCTCACACTTGGCCCGTAATAACCTTGTACTCTCCCTTCAACGTCTGCTCCTCCCCAAGCGTATCCCATATCCTCACTTCGCCGCGCGTCAACTCCCGCTCAACACTCGTGGCTCGTGAAAGGACGGACCGTTTCCCACTACGTCCGCAGATGCGCAGTAGTATCCTGAGGGCGCGATGCGCGCGACAGTCGCGTTGTGTACATGTCCGCTGTAGGCAATCGAGACTGTAGGATCCTGGCCATCGCGTGAGGGGCTCCGAGCACAGTGCAATCACGGAATCACTGACCGACAAGTCACGGATCTGCGATGGACATGCACTGCTCAATACAAAACCGCGCTGTAATGTACAAAGTCCCTACTCACAAACACGGACCGCCCGTTCGTGTATACGATCTTGTCTTTGCTCGAGCTGAGCTTCGTCGGCTGTCCGCGTGCAGTCGCAGGATTTGCGGGGTACAGAGCGCCCTTCCTGAACGACATTGCAGCAGCTCTCCAGATGATTATCTCAGACGGTGATGGTATGTTGGAAGGGATGAGTATAGTTGTGGCTGCGGCGACGGCATCGAGATCGTCGCCGGCGCAGATGTGCCCGATTTGGCAGTAGGGCGCGGTCAGGTGATGTCTTCGACGTATCGCGACGCGCCGTCTGCGACCGCACCCGCGGCGACGAAGACAACGGCGGCACGGCCGATGAGTAATGTACGCGTGGTGTGTCCACTACGAGCATAAGTAAATCAAAGCAAGCATAACCATTCCACTACTACATATACAATGATCCGTCAGATAGCAAGCAACTCCCCAACGTAACAGCTCAATCGTCGACGGGTCTCTCCTCGGCGCTGTAGTTCTTGAAAGGATCCTTCCGCAATGCTTCGGCTTCCGCACTCATCACTGCGTCCTTGACTGCCGGCTTCGGCTTCATCACTGTCCCAGGGACTGCGGCAGAAGGACCGGATGGCGTCGGGGCCTACAGGATGCAACATCAGCGACAGTACTGGAGTGACGTGAGCTGAGACGCACCTCTTCATCTCTGAAGGGCATGAACCTCGGCGTCGAGGGCACGGAAGGTTCAGTCTTAGGCTCTTCCTCATCTTTGAAGACCGCGATAACACTCCTGCCCGCACTTTTACCCTTCCCCTTCTTCGCAGCCGCGTCCACAGGTTCAGATGGGGCTGCCTCATCTTCGTCCCGGAACACCGCAATCGAGCTCTTGCTCGTGGTCCGACTATTGCTGTTCTTTGTCGCAGGCTCTGGCACAGGTTCGTCCTCGTCTCGGAAGATCGGAATAGAGCTTGTGCTCGCCGTCCGTGACTTCTCCTTCTTGGCCGGGGGTACGGGAGGCGGGGGCATCGACGAGGACGAGGAAGATGCGTCCTCCGGCCCAGGGTCGCGGAAAACAGTGATCTTCGAACCGGATGGTGCTCGAGAAGACCGCCCGGCGCGCATCGTCGTCCCAGCGGCCTTGCTCACCTCGACCGCGTTCTCCTTCACACGCGACTTGCGCGTGCCAAGCTCCGACCACGGGGTGGGGTTCATCGCCTGATTCGGATCGTTCTCCGCGTCGCCTGAAGGGTCGACAAAGATGGGCATGCGCGCATTCGGGCGTGGAGGTGCAGGGGCAGAGAACACGTCTTCGGAGACCGAGGGTGCGCGTGTTGAGCCGGAACGTGTTGTGCGCGAGCGTGAGGACGAAGACGACGATGCCGGTGGCTCGCCGAGCACCCTTCGTTTCGCGGATGATTGGGGAATCGCGTCTGGGTCCATTTCGGATGATGAGGACTGGGGGAGTGTTGGGGAGGCCATCATGCGTTTCTGGAACTCGCGATGTTTCGCTTCCAGACGCTCGAGGGGGGCTGCCCTCCGCGCGATGCCCAGGAGGTACGTCTCGTCTGCCTCGACGCGTCTTCACGTGTCTTCAGAGTCACATCACACGCTGTGGGCAGTGGGGGACTCACCGGTTGGCGCGTTCGAGCGCGATCGCGTACTCCTCGTAGAACAGCGCATGGTTTGTCCCGATCTCGTTCACGAGCAAGAACTTGTAGATCACCGTCGGCTTGTCCACGTAGCTCGCATACCGCACCCACAGCTTCAGGTACCTCAGGTCCCCATGCCACTTCCCGCCCCTGTCGTCCTTGAGCACGCGCGTCGCCTCCTCCAGGAGTTCGAGCAGGCCGGACTCCGCCGAGTGGCCCTGCGGGTAGTTCTCGACCGTCCAGTCGACGAAGCGAGAGTAGACCTCGAGCGGGTCTGCATCGTCCGAGTCGTCTTCGAGGGCGAGCTCGACGTTTGTGCGGTGACGCTTGCGTGCGTCGGCGAGACGGACCTCGCGCTGGGCGTGCGGGGTGGAGAGGATGGCGGAGAGAGCGGTGACGCGCCGGCCGGCGGCGAGGGGCTGGATGTTCTCCTTTGCGGCTTCGAGAACGTCGCAGTCGACGATGGGGGTGAATACGTCGGCCATCTTGTAGTGGTGGTCACAAAGCAAGCCGAGCAAGCCTCGAGGTCCAACCTCCCAACGGTCAACCTGGTTGTATTGTCGGCTTTAAACGCTTGTTATTAGGCAGACCCCCTATAGATGCATGGCCCTAACCCTTCCCTAGGGTTGACGTTGCTTCCTGACCCCCAGTGAGAATCGACACGGTTACGGTCGATATCATTCGATATCATTCGATTTGCGCCGTGCGCAGTCGGGTAAAACGGCCCTTTACGAAATCTGGACTATTCCCGACTTTTTTCGGATTGAGCAGTATGAGGTCGCGCAAGGCCTCCGATACAGAACTACGCCTGTCGATTTGGGTCGACTGCCGCCGTTAGCAACCGGGTTCGCTCGAGCATGTTGGGGGCTGATTTGTCTAGGGCCGGTCCTATCCGAAACACGCTATTGGATGATACTCGTGCAATGGCTGTATTCAGTCGTATAGAGTCGTAATACTACACATTACAATACAGGTACAATCGGACGCGTTCGGAAAGAGCTGTATACCACCGGCTATGGTAGGGCGCACTTGGGTTCAGTACATCACAGGCGACTCCCGCTGCACTTTGCCTAGTTAGACGTGCCACATTTGTCGTGGCGGGGCTACCTCACTGGTGGGTATGCATCACGAACTTGAACCGGAGCTCGTGAGCTGTCGGACGCGGATAAGCAGACCGGGGGGTGATGTAGAGACCAGGTGGCGAAGGAGCGGCGGTTCGAGTCGAAGCGTCGGGGAACGAGAGTTGACAGCGAGACAAAGTGCATCACAGACTTGAACCGGGGCTCGTGAGCTGTCGGACGCAGATAGCCACAGTGAGAGCATATGTGGAGACGAGGCGGGGAAGGAGCGGCAGTGTTCAAGTCGAAGCGTGGGCGAACGATTCTCAACAGCGAGACACAGTGCATTCCGAACTTGGACCGGAGCTCGTGAGCTGTCGGACGCAGATAGCCAGAGTGAGGGCAGATGTGGAGACGAGGCGGGGAAGGAGCGGCAGTGTGCAAGTCGAAGCTTGGGAGAACGAGAGTGGAGAGCGAGACAAAGTGCATCACGAAGCGCAGGTGTGCAGTCGTGCACCTGACAACAGCGTTGCAAAGATCATTGTTGGTATTCGCGGGCTGCCTTCTGTTTGGGGGTTTCTAATCAGATGTGGGTAGAGATCAATAAGGCGAACGCACCTTGCGATCTGTGGGACCCATCGCCTTGTAGTGCCTTTCGAAATCGGCCTCGGTGCCGGCAGTCTCCTTGTACCAGTGCCTTGCGTATGCCCACCTGATGATAGTTCGATCGAAAGTCAGATGCGGTCAAGAGCGAATGAGGTACGTATTTGGTCCCACGCAACTCCGATGGCGGAGGCCACTGCGGGGCCTTGCGAGGAGGACGAGGTTTTTTGGATGCGGTTGAATTTGTTTGGGTGGGAGGGACGTGCAACGATGTTGCAGCCACGCTCTCGGCAGCGAGGTTGGCGACAGTGTCGCCGACGGAGACCGGGACGTCGGAGGGCACAGGAGGGGCCTCCGAAACGTCATCATGCGCGCGCGGCACGAGCGCGGCTGAATCGGGGTGCTGCGATGGGGTGGGTGGTATGGGCAAGGCGGGATGGTCAACATGAGATGAGGGGGGGTGGTTTTCTGAGGGTGCGAGGGTGAGCGACGACGGCGAGGCAGATGGCAGAGACACTGGGGGGGCTGCTCGGTCAAGGGCTTGCCCGGGCGCAAGGGCTGCTGCTGATGGGGTGGTGAGACTTTCGGGGACGCGCGGGCTGGGTTGCAAAGGAGTCCTGGGTGGGCAAATGATTGTGAGCAGGCGTGCGCGATCATTACACTATGAGACGAACATTGACGTGGATATCTACGGGACGCGGAGTGAGATAGTGGAAAGGCAGTAATTGGTGGAATTTTACCACAGATAGGAGGCTTGGGCCCGCGCGTTGCTTGCCCTTGTCAGGTCGTGGGGTCGCTGCACGCCAAAGGGGACGGGGTATAGTCAGCGCCTGCTCGCCAATGGAAATGATACATACATTTGTCCCCTTGTGGATCGTGCGCCTGCAGGCGAGCACGCTGGGGAGGTTTTTGCGAGGCGATAGCGGGGTCGGCCGGGCGCTTGGAGGGCGGGCGGGGTGAGGGCGGCCGAGGGCGATTGTTGTCCGGGCCGTCGTGGGTGTCGTCCGGAGATTCTTCGTTGTCGGACATGGTGGGCAGGGTATACTTGGCGTCGTTGAGGGTGACGCCGGGGGGACAGATGTTCTCCCACTTGCGCGTGACAGTCTCGTAATAAATGTGCGTCATGAAGAGATTGCCCTTCGCATTGTTGTGGCATAACTGGAACAGAGGGAATCGTTTGCGAAGGGCCGAGTACATCAGGAAAACGTCACGGACTTGTACAGGTACTTGGGGTACTTGGCCAAGTACCTCAAGTATCCCAAGTACCTCAAGTACCCCAAGTCCAATGGACTTGGCCAAGTCGGGTGGGTCGACTTGGCCAAGTACTAGGTACTTGGCCAAGTCCTCCAAGTCCCTGTTCAAGTTCATGCCCAAGTTCACTGTGAGATGTATTGAATAAAGATGATATGCATGGAAGTAAATCAAAGGACAGCTGCTCTTGATTCAAGGTCAAGTGTACAATATTTGTTAGTGGGTGCAGCGGCGGCAAAAAAAAATGCCACCACAGGGAATTGAACCAGCAACCTGCAAATTCAGTGTCCAACACAGCATGTTCAACCACTACACTACAGAAGTGCACACTAAAGCATAGAATAGCAGCCATATATAGCGCTCTTTGCTGGACTCCGAGAAATTCTTCACCATCCTCTCCTGTACCATAGCAGAACTTGGACATCCACCACTGATACCACTATTCTTGAGCATTATCTGGATATTGTACCTCTGTATCACTACTGAAACAAGCACATTGTAACAACTTAAAGTCTTCTATCACATGTTATTGCCCTTCTTCTAATAGACTATAAAGCTGCTTCTACAGCCTTAAAACAGACTGGTTTACAACTAGTGTATGGATGTCTATGATAGATATTATTACATAAGAAGTATACAAGATGTGTGACTGATAGAACACCAATTGCTCAAATTGAGGCCTGAGTATACTGAAGTCAACATGTAAAGTCCAAGTTGTGGCCCAAGTACCCCAAGTACCCCAAGTATATAGACTTGGGTCAAGTCCGTGTACTTGGGACCAAGTACACGGACTTGGGGCCAAGTATATAGACTTGAGTCCAAGTACACGGACTTGAGGCCAAGTACACGGACTTGAGGCCAAGTACACGGACTTGAGTCCAAGTACATGAACTTGGGCTCAAGTATGGGTCCAAGTCCGTGACGTTTTCCTGATGTAGAAGAGCTCCTGAAACCACACATCAGCCTGACGCCATTTCTTGGGCAAGGAATAGTTAGTCGAGATCGCGAGGCTGATCAACTGGCGCGCGAAGTTGCGGGCATCGTTGATGTAGTCACCATCGGCAGGAGTGCCATCAATGTGCTCGATGTACAGGGCGGTGTGGTTCTCGCCCTGGGCTGACTTCTTCCTGCCTCGGATAACTTTGTCACCGATGCGTGTGGCCTTCCCGTTGTTGCGCTTGTATTCGTTCCAGTCTCTCTGCATGAAAAATTTCACCTGGGCAGGGTTTGTTAACATGCATTAGTTACGAAAACGCCTGGATGTGGGGATCGTCGTACATTGGGGAAGAGAGCCTGGTCGCGCGGGCAATCATGGCCAGGGGGCTCTTCAGGCATCAGGGAATCTGTGGGGTTCACAGACTCCATGGCCAATTTCTTGAAGGTGGCTATATGCATGGTCAGAGCGAGACATGGGGGCAGGGGTGAAACTAACACCGGGGGTCTGGAGCGCCATCCGAGGCGTCCGAGGCCTTGGGCCCTTGCGGAAGAGATCTACAGAGTACAGTGCCGTGAGTGAACCAGATGATACCCATCCTGCGTAAGTGTGTTCTACTCACGGCGCATTGTCCGTGCGTGCTTGTAAGACGGCCAGTTGATTGCTAGATGGACGGCACAATTAGATGGCCATGGCGGGGAGACGGCTGCTGGGCGTACCGGACTTGGATGAATTCTTGTTCTAAACGGTGCAGTCGGACTCCCATTTCGACTAAGGCGATGGAGGCATGTGAGGATGCTGAGGAAGTGGAAGAATGGGCGGGCCCCTATTCGAGAGGTGAGTATATGCGCTGTGTTTCATGAAGATAATTACTTGCCAAGTTTTGTAAGGGAGGTGCATTTTGAGACTGATATTCTACAGAGGAATGGTACAGGTCAAGGTGCGGAAAGGCAAAGGGGGCAAAGGGGGAGCGCGAGGGGTCAGCGTGTTGCGACCCACGCTGCCCGGTTTCGCGGTGATGTGAGACATTGGGAATTGCAAAGGATGAGCCATAATGGGAGATCTGGGAGTGAGAGCGAGAGCGAGAGGTGTAAGGATCTCCAGCGCGTGAGCCAGGATACACAGATTGAGACTGAGAACGAGAGCGAGATTGAGAACGAGATCTAGAGGGAGAAGCAGACCGTGATCGAACACGAGAAGGAGGAAAAAAAGGATTGCGGGGTTGGGAAGGAGAGGGCGAGGAGCTCGGCGAATATGCAGGCATCATATGTACAAGGAGCAAAGAGCAGGGTACATGAACGTACTGTGCAAGACGATACTTGGGGCACTCGACAGAGTCGCATACACCTATGTCATATTAGGTAAGGGCGCTAATTAAGGTTGCCTTCGGGATTTGCAGATTATCGTCTTCCGCAAATCCTCTGCAGCACCTGCTTCTCACCGCTTCCCGTCTTGCTCAAATGGAAACCATTAGTGTTGTGCCAGGCCGGGCTTCAAGCCCTGAAGCCCCGGGTACCCGGCCCTCAAAATCCCGACCCAGCCCGGCCCTCCGTCGGGCTTTCAGGGCTTGAGGGCCCGGCTTGGAATTGTGCAAGCCCGAGCCCAGCCCTCAAGCCCGGGCTTGTAGGGGGGGCTCTATATCCAGCTGTATAGAGCCTCGGACAGGTTTCAGGGATGCTTAAAGATGAGTCAAGCTAGGAAACGTCGAGGAAAGCTCACCAAGCTTGACAGCGTTGTTTCCCGGCGGACTCAGAGCATATGGAAGCGGCCAGTCGGGTGAGCGCTGGACCTACCTGATTCGGAACTGCCACCCGCTCACTAGTTTTCTACCGTCCTCTGACTCCTCGCTGCGCGAATGGTGGCTATAATCACGCTGGTTATGTTGTCTTTCAAGTTTACAAGACCTAACTATGAAATAGAGGTAAGTTCCATATGCAGATTACTCATTGATGCGTGATAGACCTCAAGCCCGGGCTTGAGCCTGACCCGACCCGGGCCCAGCCTGAGCCCGCCACTAGGGCCCGGCTCGAGTGTTCAGTGAGCCCGAGCCCTCCAAAGCCGGGCCCTAGCCCGGGGTTTTGAGCCCGGCCCGGCCCTGCACAACACTAGAAACCATACGTCTTCTTCGCGGCATGTGCAAGGCCGGACCCCCCTACTCGGACGAGGTGCCATGGCCAGTCCGTGATTTCTTGACCAGCGTGGAGGCGTATGAAGAACCGGAGTCGCCAAGTGACCCTCCAAAGTACGTTTCGCCATTCACTTTGAACGGCTCAGATGTCTCACTGTTTCACAGTGTTTCCCCAGACGCAGAAAATCCCATAGCCCTTTTGGACGCGTTCGGCATATTCCCACATCGACCTCCCAGCTCAGCTGCCCCGCCCAAAGAACACGTCGTGTACAGGCTTCTCCGGCTCGCCCTTGTTGCCGCGCGCGAGGCTTATCGCTTGGACACCAGGGAGGACGATCCGGAACTGTTAGATAACGATGCTGTGGTGAGCATATTTGTAGAGGTGCGGGATCGATATCAGAGTGTTTGTGAAACGTTGTGGGATGCTTGTCCCCGACGGCAACAAAGGTGAGCAATCATTTCATTCAGTCCATTGAGCTTTCATGCATGAGTGCGTTCAATAGCCAAACTGTTGAAAACAGGGCACGCGGACCACCATCAGGGGTCGACGTGCCCCGGGATACAACCAGGCCTATACCTCTCCCTCGTCCTCCCAATGTGCCCCAATACCCCCCAGCTCCCATGCCTGTGCTCCATTCTGACCCTGCAACAACCCCGATGGCTGCTCCCGCCATACCTCTGTCGCGCAGTGTGGTCTCTGCTTCCCATACGAACCGCCGAGGGAAATCCAAGGACCTGTGGCAGAAAACTCCCTACCCATCTGGGCCTCTCGTTCCTTTCCGTTCATCTGGCTGGACTGACACCCCTGCTCCCAATTCATTATCTGCCTCTGCAGGCGTGCACCCCAAACCTGTGACTAGTGTTTCCATGGAACGGCCCTGCCCGCCGGGCCCTGCGCGGCGCTCGTCATGGGACGACTTCACGACGTCCTCATCTGGTTTCTCTCTTGGACGCTCTCTCTCAGCTTCGACTCCGAGATCTTTGCGGCACAAGTGAACGCCCTGGCCTCCCCATCTGTGCCAGAACAGCAGTACTCTCAGGACTGCTTCCTGTCGTCCTTGCTCAGACGTCTCCTCAACCGTCACTCTGCAAGTATACGTTCGTCATTAGCACAATGCGTAGTCTGTGTGTAGCCTATCTGCCATGCGCGCCAGAAGATGTATGTGGATTGTAATGATATTCATTCTCCATCATCGTCAGATTCCTCTTCATGTGCGAGATTCTCCTCGCGACCGATACATGAATTATCAAACCCCAGTCTATGCATCACGAAGAATCAGTTTGAATACAAATCGGCCGCATGGGGGTCCTCTGCCTCCTCGCGCCTAGGGGGCAGAGGAATCATCGCGACCACCGAGGTGATTTCCTTTGCATCGATGACCTCGCGCGACGCGTCCCCTTGGTAGCGACAGGCTTTGAGAACTCCATAGGTCTCGTGCTGGATGGCTGGGTCGGGAGGCGTGTATACGGAAAGCATCGCCAAAGTCATGTTGACGTCGTCTGTGCCACCATCATCCAACATTTTCCGAAGCCTAAAAAAGTACTGGACCTCAGCGTAGCGATTGTCTGACAGCTGAACAAACATAAAGGAGTCAAAAGCCACTCATCGTGATCGCAGGAGTACGCACCCTGACCATGCGCGAGCGGTAAACGGGGCGCCCGCGTTTCTCACCGGCGCATTCCTTCCATGCCGTGCGCGCAACCTGTCCATTGGGCAGTCGCAAACGTCCCCAGAAGACAAGCCTGGGCGTCCACAGTCCGGAAAAAGTGATATCATGCGCCCTGAGGAAAGTAATTAGTGCCGCTGAGTCGTCCGTGCTCACAACCCGTGGGCTGCGCATGGTGGGATGCATCAAGACGTATTGACCGCCGAGCTCAACGGCGCCGCGTGGCAGCTTCGGAGTGTCCTCGAGAGATTCCGGAAACATGGCGATGAGCGCGCTCACTTGCGCACGCCGCAACCCACGAAGCGACAAGTTTTCGTATGGTTTCGAGTGCGACCCGATTTCGGCTGTAAGATTACCAATGGCGTTTTCGAGTGGCCACTGCGAATGTAACCAAGCTGGGCCGACGCGTGCATTTTCCGGCATGAGATGGACAAGGGCGTGCAAGGCCTGCCGGCAGAAGTGAAGCCGATCGATCCGGCGCGCGTAGTACATCTCCTCAAATTCTTCCACATATTCGAGCAAGAGCATGTGTGCGGGCGGGCGGAGTACGACTGGGGTTTCTACGAGCAGTGCCGTTTGGGCGCCGGCCACCAGTTTACAAAAGTGTGCATAATATTTCGGTTTTTGCACTGCCCAGAGGAAGCCGGGAAGGTAGCCATAGACATAGTACATGTACTCCCAAGCCTTGTAGCCGCTCGAGATCTTCTCGGCCGGGTTCCGCGGAGGATGATCAAAAGACCCAGGGAGATACAGAGACACGTCACCAACAAGTTTCCCATGCGCCTGCCAAGCCTCGTCGCCAGATAAACAAGCCCAGTCCCAGTTCGCAAGAGGATCAGTTTTTTCAGATCGGCTGAGCTTGCCTCGAAGGAGCCCCAGAACTAGTTCAGTGATATTCAGAGTAAGCAAGTGCATGATATCCGCAGGAAAGGTGCCGGGAAAGCCGCAGTTCACGGGAAGTCCCATGAAAATCGACGGCTTAGCGATGCCGGTCTTGAGGCGCCTCCTGTTGTACTGAGTTTGGTTCTGACAGCCCAAAACCTCACCGAGCTGACGCCAGTATCGTTGGGACTGGGTTTCGTCGTTAGGAGGCGGATTGCGGAGGATATAGTCGGGGTGGGTGCTCCCACGGACCTGCTCGTAGTCCGGGTCCACGGGTTTGAGCATCGCAGGATAGTAGTGGCCCCCTCCGCCAGGCTTGCGGCGTCCCTTGATGGGACAAAAGAGCCGACAGCCGTGCGCCCCAGAGTGTCCCACAAGTCCGTTCATATAAGCCATAGCAGGAGTGTCACCAGTAGCAAAGATAATGATCGGCCGCGACTCGATGACCTTTTGCCGATACGAGTCCCAGATTTTGAGCGGTGGATTCTGTAGCGCGGCAACATGATAGAGCCCAGGAAACAGGAAGGAGTCGACGTTCTTTGGCTTCTTCGGTCCCGGGATGAACGCGCCCGGGAGCACGTATCGCTTCTTGTATCGCAGATCGGGAGCCAAATCGAACAGTATCCAGATGTATATCCAACAATCTGATTGCTTAGATTCATATAGCTGTGCACCATCCAGTGAGAACATGAGAACGAGGTCGTCCTCTCGAATGGTGCCAGCCTCGACTAGTTTCAGGTAGTCCTCTGCAAAAAATACGTCTTCGGCGACCTCGACCATCTTCTGCGCGTTCGCCATCTGCAAAAGTCGTTCCATAACCTTCTCGCGATGGCGCATACGCTGCGCGCAATGTCGCGATCGGTAGAGCGCCTGTACCTGCGGCCCTAACGGATGCGTCTGGAACGTCCGACACGCGACACGTTTGCCTTCACGTGTCTCGTACCGAGGGATACCGCAGTCCTTGGCCGGGCAACGATCCAGGTCTGCAAAGGGGCCCGTATACGCTACACAGGTGTCCGGACACATGTCAGTAACGATCGGAACGACACCGCTCAACTCTTGAACCAGTTTTTGCATCGCCTCGTAGCTCGGCAAGGTGAGACCTTCATTGTACTCCATTATGTTCGCCCGACAGTCCCGATAAATTTTTTCAGAGTGGCCCGTGGCGATGAACTGTTTCAGCGCAAGGCGCAGCGCGCGGTTTTCGGGCACCGTAAGATCGGGGAGGTCGCGTTCTGGATTGCGCATCCGTTCGATGGCCTTAGGGTCGAGTCCGGATGCCTCGAGCAACGCGTTTTCGAGACCTGCGATGAAGGCTATAGCCTGCTTGAGATCCTCCAGGGTGGGTGTGGGGAGGACACCTGTCACGTCATGGGCCCCGAATTCCGGTTCCTCTTCCTCAACACCTTTGGCGCGTGGCGGAGCCTCTGGGCTTGGTTCACGTTGAATGGGGTTGGCGATCTCAACTTCCGGTTGATCCATGTCAACTCCCTGAAAGGGAAAGGGATCTTGCGCCTCATTCTCAGGCTGTACAGGGGACGTTAGAGGACCGTCAGCTCTACAATGGACAATACACTCCCTGTCGAGAATCGTATGCTCAGAAAGCACGCGAAGGAGCCGCGTATGTGACATATGCCCACTATGGAAAGCTCGAATCGCGCCGCACGGAGACATGTCCGACATTCATCGAGGCGCACGTCGTCGCATTCTCCATGTGCGCCCCTCTGGACAAACATGGCGAATGCTCGCTTGGCGTGTTCCATGTGTGTATCTGCTCATGAGGGAGCGCCTCACGAGCAGGCACATCACATTGCCTTCAAATTTCAGTTACGCCTGCCCCGGCACGGGCTTGGTGAACGAGTGGTGGAAGCGGGACCTACCTCGCTGATTCCCTCTGGACCCTCGTTGGCAGCTGTGGCCAGGTTAGCCGTACCAAAACCCGAGGAAGAAGGACCCGCGACCATGGCCTGTGGTGTCTAGGGAAACCGATGTCAGCCTTCGAACGAAGGGCTTAGTCAGCATAGCGTCTTGCCTTTGTCTGAGTGCGGCGGCGCTTGTAACCATGGGGCCCTGCTGGATGTATGTCTGTTGTGCCCGAGTCGGCGGACATACCAGCCACGAGGCCTTGTTGGAAAGCCTGTTGGATTGACTGGTCGCGGTAAGGGGCATGGCTGAAATGAGTAGACCGCGACACCTTGGTTGGCTGGCCACCACAATACCGTAGACAGTTGCAAGAGTGCTTTTTACGAGGTGACATCCTGAGGTGTTCCTGAGCAAGAAAACGTGTTGTATGCGCGAGTGTAGACCCCAGCAGTGGTGATTAACAGGCCTGTTAGGAGGGAGCACCAGCGGCGAGCAGAGATCTGGCACGGTGCAGAGAGACAGCAGCACACAAAACTCGAGACAGACCCAAATGTATGCATTACATCGCTCTAGCTAGAGACACTAAGAGACGTCATATCCTTAGAGACATGCACGTCCGATCCGACGACCATAGAGGTACTCAGAGACGTCAAACGGGCGCTAAATGACGCTCATCCCATCCTAATCGACACAGCACGCGTAAATACGGCCATACGCGATCTCACACGCCCCAAATCGATTGAAACCATGCACGTTCTCACTGGGCCTGACCTCCGACCACGATGTCCGGCACTACTGCAAGCTCTGAAGGGCGAAAACCATCTCATCTGCATCTGCACTCACGCATCTTATCAGTGAGATCTCCTCACATCGCCCGCAAGGCTTGACTGCGAAGCGTTTACTGCATGCATGTCGCAATGCGCAACGAGACCATATGCACAGCGCTTGACGGACCTGGGGTAGGATATCCCCGCTCTGCAGCCGGTTTGGCGCACACATTCCCTGATAGACATACGTACAGGGGGAATCTATCACGACAGCCAATGTTCCGGACCCGAACTGGGACAGAGAAATGGCCTGGGAATGGATGCCTGTCACAAGTAATGTCTCAAAGCCTAGCTCCGGACCTGAGCCAGCGGGCGCTCTGATACCATATATAGGATATTGCCACTCCAGACCCTCCAATAAGGAGCATAAACGCTTATGTCATGCGCTTTGTCAGCACTGGTATTCCTTTTCAGGGGGTTTAGCGCCCGCTGGCTCAGGTCCAGAGCTAGGCTTTGAGACATTACTTGTGACAGGCATCCATTCCCAGGCCATTTCTCTGTCCCAGTTCGGGTCCGGAACATT